TGTTCTGAAGGTTGTTCTTCCTAACGTTTCGACAGTCTCTGTGGCCATGGGCATCTTCAGAGGACAGCACTCCGTGCTCTGGTCCTCTGAAGAGTGCTGTCCTCTGAAGATGCCCATGGCCACAGAGACTGTCGAAACGTTAGGAAGAACAACCTTCAGAACACGGCCAAAGAGCCCGAAAAACCCACAACAGCCATTAGATCCCGGTCGTGAAAGCATTCGCAAATACATAAGCAGGATTGCTAGGGAAAATATGCTATGAAGGAAGAATACAACCGACAGCTATGGAGGAGTTAGACTCTGCTACCAACCGGGATACCAACAGTGTCATCCCATTTACCTTGCCAGCTCCATTACAAGCCCCCAGTAATGTCACCCACAACACCAGGGGCCCATTCATTTGTTCTTCTGCTAATGAGATTTACGCCATTTTTTGCCAGTAGTGTCCCTCTGCATTCTAAGTAGGGTAAACAGAGCAATCTCTGCACAAGAGAATAAACAGACACAAATCCGACACCAGAAATGGCAACACACAAAAAACAGCTTCAAAACACTTCAACGGCCCAGGATGCGATGTTACAGATCTCATAGTAACTTCTGTGGAAAAAAAAGGGAATTACCAGGGACATTTTTAGAGAGAGAAAGAGAGGAAGAGGTGGATAGATCCAGAAACACTAAAATACATCAAAAGGATTAAATAAGGACCAAGAATTCTTAGCACACTATACAGTATATGGTTCATCTAGTCTTGGGTATACCAATAGCCCAAAATTGATTTCTTTGACATAACTGTCTATATCTCAGTACAATCTCTGAAAACTGTCTGATTGCTAACAAGAGGATATCTGTGTAATGAGCACTTTTACAGCTATACACTGGTGTTAACTATACTGCTCTGATTTTGAACACCTATTGTTATTATGTGCCATTAAGTCATTTCCAACTTATGGTGACCCTCCAAAATGTCCTGTCATCAACCACCCTGCTAAGCTCCTGCAACCTTAAGCCTGTGACTTCTCTTAGGGAGTCAATCCATATCACATGTAGTCTTTCTCTTTTCCTGCTGCTTGACAATTCCCAGCATCATTGTCTTTTCCAGAGAACCATTCCTTCTCATTATGTGCCCAGTGTGTGTGGAAGGGACTGTCACTCAAAATTGGCCTTCTCAGCCACACTAGACGCTGTTCCAAGTTCTCCATACAGAGCACATTACCATAGTCTTTCGAGACTGAAGGATGCCTACCTAAATTCCTTCTCATTACGTGCCCAGTGTAGGACAACCTCATCTTCAACATTTTTGCTTCCAGGGATAGTTCAGGCTTGATTTGATCTAGGGCGCACTTGTTTGTCTTTCTGGCAGTTTAGGGCATCCACAAACCTCTCCTCCAGCGCCATATTTCAAATCAATCAATGAACTTTCCTGTCACCTTTCTTTATGGCCAGCTTTGAAATCCATACAAGGTGATTGGAAATACAAGAATGTGGATGATCTTCGCCTTAGTCTCCAGTGACACGTCATTACACTTGATGATCCTTTCTAGTCCCTTCATTGCTCTTTGTCTTCTTCTGATTTCTACAATTTTAACCTTCTCTTTCCCATCTCACATGATCTCAGCCCTATACCATTCACTCTCTGTACATAAACCTGTGGCCTAGCTATTATGCTCCATGTGTCCAAGAAAGGGGGTTATAAATGTACACTGAAATCTGCTAGCCTTTAAAATAACACAATTCTTTTTTGTTTGTTTGTTTGTTTGTTTGTTTCTGCTATACAAGCTGAAACAGATGGACATAGCTCTCTCTTGGAAAACCACTGGTCTAGCAGTTGCCTTAAAACTTGATGGGGTGTTTATTTACCACATCCCCTGCTTTCCTACCATATGCAAGGGACCAAAGAATAAAACCAATTTTAAGATATTTAAGAACCCAAACTTGGAAGCAATACGTTTAAGGGAAAAGCGTTCTGGCTGAGTTGTTAAATGCGGTGGAAAATTTAGGCACCATTACCAGTAGGGTCTGATATCTGAAAGGCCCGAATGGCTCCTTGGATGGTTGCAACCACTTTGTCCACCAAGCTGTCGATCAAGAAATGGTGAACTTCCTCTTGCTGTATTGTCCGCTTCTTTATCTTTTGTCGGGCCCCTTTAAGGCTGAAGATATTTCCTTTCTGGTGGCGGAAGAGGGTCATCTGTAAAGATAAATGCCCCAACAACATTAGGAGTTTGCTAGAGATATTTAAGGAGTGGTTTTACCAGTCCCAGTCCCCCAGTGAATATCCATGGCTAAGCGGGGGATACAAACCTATTCTCCGGAGTCCTTGTCCATCACTCGGTGGCGGAAGAGGGTCATCTGTAAAGATAAATGCCCCAACAACATTAGGAGTTTGCTAGAGATATTTAAGGAGTGGTTTTACCAGTCCCAGCCCCCCAGTGAATATCCATGGCTAAGCAGGAGATACAAACCTGTTCTCCAGAGTCCTAGTCCATCACTTTATCCACTAAACTGCACTGAGAATGTCTTCATTGTTTACTTCACTACTATTTAGTCCTGTAATTGACTGAACTCACAACACGTCTCTTTGTTCTAATTTTGTATTCAGTGTACTCACCGACCCTTTCATTTTTTTTTAATTGTCATATTAGGGGAAGCAGAATCTTTTCCTGTTTTACTACACATCATTTTAAACCAAGAATTCTGTTTTACTATTCCAAAATCCTCACACAAAGGTTCTAACAATATTGAGAAATGTGGAGCTTCCTTTCCACTCACCTTTGGAGGGTAAGAGAGACAAAGCTTCTCGTTTCTTTTCAATTGTTCCTAGCTGACACAGCACATCAGTGATGCTTTGGTAGGGCTTTAACAAAAATCATTTCAAAGCGCTGCTGATCATGTTAACAACCATTTCCGCTCGCCTTTGGAGGGTAAGAGAGACAAAGCTTCTCGTTTCTTTTCAACTGTTCCTAGCTCACACAGCACATCAGTGATGCTTTGGCAAGGCTTTAACAAAAATCATTTCAAAGCACTGCTGATCATGTTAACAACAATTAAAAAAACAATGCAAAATTTCCTTTTCCTTCCCATGTAAAGGTGAGCTGGAATGAAGCTTCCCATTTGTTAAGGTCATTAAGTGGCTTCACCGAAGGAACAGCCAATCGGTTAACAATCTTGGAAAAAGGTAAGCTTCCTTTCCTGAAGAGAGATCTTGATTATACTAAACAAGGATGGCTTGAGGTGTGATGTCATTGATCCTTGCATGTGGACGTATTTGTTGTGCTAAATGACATACCCACAACTCAAAGCAACCCCATTTAGCAGGATCAAGACCAGTGATTCCCAACCTTAGGTCCCCAGATGTTCTTGGACTACAACTCCCAGAAATCCTAGCCAGGACACCTAGTAGTGAAGGTTTCTGGGAGTTTTAGTCCAAGGATATCTGGAGACCACTGATCTAGACCGATCCAGGTCAGGATAATTTGCCCATCTAGTGGCACCCTTAGTATCCTGGCCAGCATAGCTAGTAGTGAAGGCTTCTGGGAGTTTTAGTCCAAGGACATCTGGAGACCACTGATCTAGACCGACCCAGCTCAAGATAATTGCCCATCTAGTGGCACCCTTAGTTTGGTTTGTTTGTAAACAGATTTATTAATTTTAGTTATCTGTCTGTAGCCTGCAGTATCACCATCAGTCACTAGGTGGCAAAGCCCCTTAATGTACCCTACAGAGTGAGAATCACAAAGGAGAACAGAAAGAAGAAAAAAAGAGAAATACAACGATGGTTGCAGGGCAGGAAACCGTGCTTGGTATTTATGCAATAAAACTGTATTAATTAACAATAAAACCATATTCAGAACATTACCGAAGATATGCTCAGAACATCTGGAGGCCCAGGGTTGGGGACTGCTGCTATAGAGTGAGAATCAAAAAGGAGAGCAGAAAGAAGAAAAGAGAGAAATACAACCATGGTTGCAGGGCAGGAAACTACAGTAGGTTTTCTAACCCTTGTAAAGCTCGGTATTTATGCTGGGCAGCAATAAAACTATATTAATTAACAATAAAACCACATTCAGAACATTACCGAAGATATGCTGGATTCACCAATGATCTCCGTCACCTGCCGGATATTCTTGTCATCTGTAAATAAGATCTGGCCACCCGAAATGTGAGCTAGATGTATATAGAGGTTGAATCGGTCTGGGGCAAGAGTCTCCCGCTTTGTTCGGGTCCTGGATGGGTCTTCTGTAATTAGGAAGGTCACCTAACAGTAGACGGAGAAGGGAATAAGCCTTAGGCACGTACTTGTATCTATGTATGTGCAAGAAAACTGGCCTATTTTGCACTGGAATATGGCACAACAGAAAGCAAAATATTTAAAACATCAAGAAACTCAAACTTTGGTACATTCATGAAGTCCGAGTTTTGGAGCTAACCTTGCATTTCTTCTCCTGAATGAGAGATTCCACACTGTTCTTGAGATGAGCATCTTTTGCAGAGGCATCCGTGAAAACAAAGATTTCAGAGAAGGGTGGTGAATCCTGGAGGGCAAGCTTGAGAAGAGGAAAAGGGGAAACATGAAGTTTGTATCTCTCTGACAAGCACAACCTTTGACTTCTTGGTCATGAAAGGGAGCTAAACAAAAGTGCCAGAAAAAAAAACAGCTGGTGTTTTTGCCTTATCTTACAAGTTTGAACAAAAGGTTGAACAGAGAGACCTGGCTGATTTGTCTGCCAGCAGTAAAAAAATAAATAAAATAAAAAATTAAGCGACCAATCAATTTAAAATTTAAGAGAATCTTACTGGTGTTTCAGTGTTATCCCTCATCGATCTGCATGAATGACTAGAAAGCAAATTTCATACAGTAATTTTAAAGATGTTAAAACTTTTGAGACAGTGATTGTGATAATCCACAATGAAGAAATTCACCTTTAAAAAGATTACAGAAAAACATGACTGAGAAAAAAAAATGAAGTGTCAGTAACTGGAACCAGATTTCAAATTCTGATTTATTTATTTTTTAAAGACACATCCTCTCTTTGTCTTGGCCAGAACCAAAAGAAGGTGGTTTATGTTTTAGTCTACTTTAGGCAGTGCTTTCTCTACGGCATTAACTGGCAACAGTCACAAATAAGAATTTTACAGGCAGTCTTGCAGTTTTAGATTTTTGAAGTTCATAATGACAACTGGCATCGCTCACCCTCCAAAAGTCCAAAAATGAGTCGACCTATTTCAGTGAAGAAGATCTGGCTGTTTCATCTTCAAAAAGAGCAGCTCTTTTGTAAAATAAAGTGGGTGTCGGTTTCCCATTCAAACCCGAAGCACCCCAACATACTCTTTCCTCCAGCCTTTGCTCCACCTGCATCTGACAGCCCAACCAGCCGACTTGCTCCATCTCATCATTTCTTGCCGGCTCTGCAGTCTGACCTGCAGCACTAATGAGGTGAGCATGCGAGTCAGATGAAGCTTGTCTGAAGAAGCTGCTGCTGCTGTTGCTATACTATCTCCAGAAACTCATTTCTGCAGCACCCAGCTATTGTGCCTTCCTCCTCCTAGTGGCTGGCAGCTCTCTGCCTCTGTTCGTCCTCCTTGAACTCGCTTTTTGTTATTTTGACCTAAATACCTCTCTGAAGCAGGAACAGATTCCAAGTTCACTCTCAATTACTTGACGAAGTGCTAGCCCAGTCTGAACACAAAACTTGGTGGAAGGGGTGTGTGGAACAGGGGCCAAATTGGGGGAAGAGGTGTGTGTGACACTTTTGCCCCATCTGGATGAGAGCTCATAATTGCTCCTGAAAGGTGAAAAGGACTAACACAAGGAAGTGGCAGGGCGAGATTCCATGTGGATAGCATCTATTAGGAGGCCACTTCAATAACATAGGCATAATAAAAACAATCACAATTATTGGGGAGTGGGGAAGAACACAAGAGCATAAGAAGAGCCCTGCTGGATCAGGCCAAGGGTGCCATCTAGTCCAACTTCCTGGATCTCACAGGGGCCCCACCAGAGGCCTCTGGGAGCACATGAGACAATTAGATACCTGTCTCCCGATACCCCTCCCCTGCATCTGGCATTTGGAGGTCCCTTCCTTCCAAGCCTGCAGACTATACATCCCCATCATGGCTTGTAACCTACGATGGACTTTTCCTCCAGAAATCTGGAGGAGGTGTGAAGTATCCACGACTGTTTTCCAGCTTTTCTGCCAACTGTATGAATGAAGCCTATACATTGCCTGTGGTAGGAAAATACGGTTCAGAGAACATCTTGTCTAAATGCCTGCAGACATCATAGGCTTCACATGAATCCTACCTCCAGTGCAGAAAGGCACATTTCTGGCTCATCCCCGCCGGACAGAGGAATGACGTTGTCGAATATTTTCCAAAATTCTTCTGGGTCACTGCTCTTATGAACAGGGCCAAACTCTTAAAGGAAGCGGAGGGAGAATGCATGAAGATAAACCAATGTACCAAACATCACTTAAGCCAAGTGCATGAATCAACTCAATTGAAAAAAAAAATCTGCACCAGAGGTACTGTGCATTTTGTTTTATTTGGCCTGTAACTCGTACATTTCAATATCCATGAACCTACCCTATAAGGATTTTAAAATACAGTGGTGCCTCACTTTACCATTGCCCCGCATTACGACAAATCCGCTTTACGACAATCTTTTTGCGATCGCAAAATGATGGTCTAAATGGGGGAATTTCACTTTTCTAACAGTTTTTATAACAGCTGATCGGCAGTTTCAAAAGGGCCGTCGGGCAATTAAAATGGCTCCCTGCTGTGTTTAGGGATGGATTCATCGCTATACAGGCAGCGAAAATGGCCGCCGTATGGAGCATCTTCGCTGGACAGTGAGTTTTTACCCCATTGGAACGCACTGAACAAGTTTCAATGCGTTTCAATGGTGTTTTTTATTTCGCTTTACGATGTTTTCGCTTAACGGCGATTTTCCTGGAATGGATTATCGTCGATAAGCGAGGCACCACTGTAAATAATGTTGAGACTGAAATGTCAGAATAAGAAAGAACAGCCCCTCTTGAATATCATGGGGCCTTAAGGAGGATGGGGGGGAAAGCCCGAGATACACCATGACGTGGAGAACACTCCACGTTCACGTCAGATGGTTTCTGATTCCTTGAAGGCTCAAAACTAAATCTGCTAGCAAGTTATGGGCTATGGAACCGGAATGGCACAATGCTAGTCACCTCCCACAGACCCCATCAGAGCAGAGTTTAGAAAGGTTGGATTTTCTGGACAACATCTCCCAGCATTCCCCAGCTGACAGGTTTGGTGAAGCACTAGCCAAGTCTGAACACAAAACCCGGTAAGTCCCACTAGAGTTACGTGAAAGCTGTAGTCCCAAAAAGTAACCTTTTTCAGTTCTGCGTCATTTCTATCCAAAGTGACACTGATTCAGTGATCGCGACACATAATGAACGATAGCTTCTTAAGCGTCTTGACCTTTGAGGAAGCGAGCAGGGCTTCTTTACGGGCAGAATCTATTGATCGCAGGCTATCTGATGTCTCCTTATTAACAGCCCTGGTACAGCTCCCTTATCTTCCACCCAGCTTTTCTTTCAAAGAATAAACCGGATTTTCTGCTCCCAGCTGTGCTTTTCTTCACAATCCTTTTCCCTTGACAGCTTAAACCTCGTCTGCTTGGGAACCTAACCTTTCCTGGCCTGCCATTCAGTCTGGATCTTGAGGGTACCTCCTACACAGAGTTCCCACCTGCAGAGCCAGTTTCAAAAAAAGGTTACGTCATTCTGTTGGAACTGATTCAATGCGGATAAATAATCACCTGTTATGCTGCCAGGAGATAGTAGTGAGAAGTAGCAAGACAGAGGCACCTTTACTTTCACTGCTCATGAGGGCTTCTGGGCAGAAATATAGATTTTTCACCTGCTGTACCACTAATACAGAAGAGATTTGTTTGAAGGTGTGTAGATCTGTGGTTTTGGAGCATCACTCCCAGAAAAGCTGTCTGGGCAATTCTGAGAGTTGTATAAATGGGCTCAAGTTACAGAAAGCCAGATATTGGCTGAATATGAGGAAAAACTTCTTAGATGTTAAAGCACTAAAACAATGGAATCGATGACCTTGGGAGGTGGCGAGTGCTCTGATGCTGGAGGCATTCAAGCGAAAATTAGACAACCCTCTCTCAGAAATACAGAAATGATTTGGATTCCTGCACTGAGCAAGAGGTTGGACTCGATGTCCTTTATAGGCCCCTTCCAAGAGGCCTCTGGCCCAATAAGCCACTGTAAACGTGTTGTAAGTTGTTCAACTGGCTGTTTTTATGGCCGTGTGTCCTCTCCCTGATTAATGTGTATTTTGTACTTCCGCTTTATTTTCATTTTCTCAATGTTAAGCATCTTGAACACTACTGGTAAAAATTACTTGGGGTGGGATTAGAAGCACTGCTGTAGCAAAAACAGTAAAGGATATTGAGGACCACAAAAGATTATGAAGTTGCTTTTGATATAAGCTTTCAGGGACCACCATCCACTTCATCAGAGATTTACAGTATGTGACATTTAACCTCAGGCAATAGAACTGGTTTAGTCTTAAGGTGCTACAACAAGATATGAATTTAAACAAAGGGATAATAAACAAGCTGCTTACCCGCTCTCGACCATCTTACCGGGATCATGGAAAGGCACTAGAATGTAGAAATCTGGCTCTTGAGGGGTTCCACGGCGCCGGTCAATGATTTCTCGTGCCTGGACCTTAGCAGCATTGATCTCATCTCCCATGCTTCCTGTGGTGTCCACAACAAAACTTAGACCTGTGGCTGGACTGATATCCAGTAGCCTGCAAATTAAAAAAGGAAGAAAACAACAATGACTCATTCATTATCCTGTAGTCTCTTGGGTTGTTCAGCGGGATAAATAGTATTCATCGTGAGACATTTGAGTCAACTGAATTTTCGTGGGAGTTGAGGGAATTGTTGCACCAACAATTAGGCCTAATTTCCTGTCATGCAACAGGATGTCTGCTCAAATCATGCCGGCTAACTGTCTTCTTCCAGCCCCTATTTCCTTGTTCGTGAACTGTCTTTCATTCTGAAATACAGATTTTACTGCAGAATTGAATTATATTGGCTTTTCTTCTTCTTTTTTTCTGCTAGCCTGTTTCAGTTCTGACCCAAAGGTTAAAACTTTAGCTCAGAAAGCAGGCTAAAAAGTTCAGGAAAGGTAAAAAAAATCAACCAAGGAGGGAAATTTTCAATATTTTACCTCAGGAAATGTAGGGCTCTGCCTTGCTTATCTCTGCCTTTCTCCTTTCTGTGAATTGGTGCCTAAGGGTTGTAAGGCTTTCCAGGATTTGGATCTGAATTCCTCTTTTAAAACCTACCACCCTTTCAGGTGCCTTTGGAAGAAAATTATAAAAGCTCCAGCTTCCTGCTGAAGTTTAAGTGGCTGTTGCTGTTTAGTCCTTAAGTCATGTCCTTGTGTCCCACTCTTTGTGACCCCATGGACCAGAGCACGCCAGGCCCTCCTCTCTTCCACTGCCTCCCAGAGTTGGGTCAAATTCATGTTGGTAGCTTCAGTGACACTGTCCAACCATCTCAGCCTCTGACGTGCCCTTCTCCTCTTGCCTTCACACTTTCCCAACATCAGGGTCTTTTCCAGGGAATCTTCTCTTCTCATGAGATGGCCACAGTTCAAAAGCATCAATTCTTCGGTAGTCAGCCTTCTTTATGGTCCAGCTCTCACTTTGACTATGTGGACCTTTGTCGGCAAGGCGATGTCTCTGCTTTTTAAGATGCTCCCAAGAAGCAGGCGCCTTTTAATTTTGTGGCTGCTGTCACCATCTGCAGTGATCATGGAGCCCAAGAAAGTCAAATCTGTCACTGCCTCCATATCTTTCCCTTCTATTTGCCAGGAGGTGATGGGACCAGTGGCCATGATCTTAGTTTTTTTTTATGTTGAGCTTCAGACCATTTTTTGCGCTCTCCTCTTTCACCCTCATTAAGAGGGTCTTTAATTTCTTACTTTCTGCCATCAGAGTGGTATCATCTGCATATCTGAGGTTGTTTACATCTCTTCCGGCAATCTTAATTCTGGCTTGGGATTCATCCAGTCCTGCCTTTCACATGATGTATTCTGCATATAAGTTAAATAAGCAGGGAGACAATATACAGCCTTGTCGTACTCCTTTCCTAATTTTGAACCAAGGTGGTCAGGCACTCCCATTTCTTTAAGAACTTGTCATAGTTTGCTGTGGTCCACACAGTCAAAGGCTTTTGCGTAGTCAATGAAGCAGAAGTAGATGTTTTTCTGGAACTCTCTGGCTTTCTCCATAATCCAGCGCATGTTAGCAATTTGGTCTCTAGTTCCTCTTCCTCTTCGAAATCCAGCTTGTACTTCTGGGAGTTCTCGGTCCACATACTGCTAAAGCCTACCTTGTAGGATTTTGAATATAACCTTGCTAGCGTGTGAAATGAGTGCAATTGTACGGTATTTATTTATTTATTTATTTGATTTGATTTATATCCCGCCCATCTGGTCTGGTCGACCAGTTTGGGCGGCTAATTAGAGCATTCTTTGGCACTGCCCTTCTTTGGGATTGAGATGTAGACTGATCTTTTCCAATCCTCTGGCCACTGTTGAATTTTCCAAACTTGCTGGCATATTGACAGTAGCACCTTAACAGCATCATATTTTTAGATTTTAAGTGGTAGCAAGGTCCAAATTAAGAGCTTTCAACCAGTGGCTGTCTTCATGGACATGATCTGCAAATGAGAAATACTAAAACCTGTCCCTAGTCCTAACCAACGCTAAAAATGAACCGTGCTTTCAGAAGGGCTGGAAAATCCTAGGAGGAAAAAAGCACTGGACAAAGTGAGACAAGAGGAAGATCATATGGATGGGATAAAATAAAATAGAATATTGGTAGCATCAAGACAGAACAAATGAATGAATAACTATCCCCCTGATTGAATGGAGTGGGAGAAAGAAAGAAGCTCTCACCGATGAAAAAAGCCTGAGGGACAAAGAGAAAGAGAGCAGGAAAGCCTCACACACAGACTCACATCCCTCTTCTTTCCAGACCATGCAACGTTACCTCATGAATGGCTTGCTCCCTATTTCTCTCCACAGCTGCTCCAAGAAGCGTTTGGTGGCTTCCAAGGCCAAAGCGGCCGCCTCGCTGTGCAGGTAGTGGTGAGGGGAAAAGAAGAAGGAAGCACTGTCTTTATTGATACCCCCACGAGGCTCCTTGTGGCGGCTATCGTCAAATCTCCCGCCATGGCTGCACTTCCCTGAAGAGACAAAAGGGCATGACTGAGTATTTCCCTCACTTCCTACACCCTTACATTCCTTGACGTTGTTGGCTTCTTACATGACGAGTAGACATGGTCTAGAGGGGCGGGGTATAAATTTAATAAATAAATAAATAAGTAAGTAAATGACAAGTCTCTCTTTGCTGCCCTTTATGAAGATCGCATTTAATCGAGGTTAAGTTGAATTTTTGGCAAAGCGGATGTTCAATTGCTACTTAAGTTAATTACTATAACCTCATCCAAAAACAAAAAGTAGAAATGGTTGTTGTGGGTTTTTCGGGCTCTTTGGCTGTGTTCTGAAGGTTGCTTTTCCTAACATTTCGCCAGTCTCTGTGGCTGGCATCTTCAGAGGACAGGAGTAGCACACGAAAGGAAAAAAAAGTAGAAACATCCCATTCATTATTTTACTTATCCCTCTCTTATTTCTCAAGATGGAGTACAGGACTCTTCTCTTCCCTACTTTGTCTTCACAACAACAACCTTATGAGGTAGGCCAGACCCAGAGAGTGTTGAAGCTCAGAGATGATGTGAACTGGGACCTCCCAGGTCCCAGCCCAACACCATAGCCAGTCACCGTCTCATACTGGCTTTCCTCATCACCATCCTGCTGGCTTGTCTGGCAGGCCATCGCAGAAATGTCCGATGACTCTTTCCATGAGTGGGAACAACAGAAAAGGTACTATAGGTCCTGACAGTGAAATATTTTAGAAGCCAGACATCTATGGAAGCAGTGGGTAAATTAATCATCAGGACCATCTCAAACTTTTCTTTAAGAAGCCAATTATTTTATAGAATGAAAAGTTCAGAACTTTATACAGCACTATGAATGTCGGTGTCTGTAGCTGTAGAACCTGTGCCGATGTCTCACAGCCAAACACCTCTCATGACATGAGGTGATTGCTGGTGGTTCTTGCTTTTAATTAACAGCCACTGAAGTTTTTTTTTCCCCACCCAATTTTCAGGAGGACCATGGTTGCCTCCTCTCCTTCCATAAGCTTGGGAAAAAAATATTTCCCATCATAGCTATCACCCTTGGAAATCAACCTCTCACAAGTGTTTACAGAAGCTTAGCCTCTCAAGACTAATTGTTGGAGTTTTTGCAACCTTGCATGCTGCTTTTAAGTAGGTTTGGCTGGGAGGGCCCTTTCTGGAGTGACTGTCAATCTGGCAGCAACCAATACAAGTTCCTTTCCTGCCTCTGTAGGAAAGCCCTGTTTCTCTCCAGAGAGTGTTTTCCCTATCTGTTATCTGATGGCAGTCTGGATTCTATTGGAGCAGTCAGTCAGTTTCACTGTTTGGTGTGTACAATTGTTAAGTAATGAAACCTTTTATTCTTCATCCCACTAATGTCTCAGCATGAATTACTGAGACTGTAAATGCCAGTTGATGAGAAAAAGATGGTGCAGAGTAGAAATGTTGAGTATAAATTATTTGAATCAGAAGCAAGGAAGGAAAGAGCTGATCTACTTCACACACAATAGTAGTCCAGATCTCTCCTCACCACCACCCCTCCCCCCAAAAAATGAGACTATAAGTGCCAGTTGATGAGAGAAGAAGATGCAGAGTAGAAATGTTTAGTATACATTATTTGAATCAGAAGCAGGGAAGGAAAGAGCTGACCTACTTCACATACATTAGTAGTCCAGATCTCTCACCACCACCCACTCCACCCAAAAATTAGGGCCAGAAAAAATGTCATGCTAAACTTATAACAACTGGTTGTGTTTGTTTGTGTTTGTGTTGTTGTTTTTTTAATTTTTTAAAAGATCGGACTGTAAATGCCAGTTGATGAGAAAAAGATGGTGCAGAGTAGAAATGTTGAGTATAAATTATTTGAATCAGAAGCAAGGAAGGAAAGAGCTGATCTACTTCACACACAATAGTAGTCCAGATCTCTCCTCACCACCACCCCTCCCCCCAAAAAAAATTAGGGCCAGAAAAAATGTCATACTAAACTTATAACAACTGGTTGGGTTTATTTGTGTGTGTGTGTTTTTTTTGAATTTTTTAAAAAATATTGCTACTGTATTTTTTCTACTTTTCTATCTGTTGCAGCCAGAGTGATTTATTACAATATATTCCATTCATTTAATCTTGTCTTATGCTCTCTACCATAATATTAATCTAATCTATTCTATTCTATTTAAGTTGGTGTAGGTTTCATCCAGGTTCCCTGGATGTTCCCATTTATTATTATCCAGTTTGTCATTTAGTGTATCTGTCAAAATATCCATTTCTGCTAGTTCCAAAATCTTCCCAATAAATTCCTTCTTTGTCAGCACCATTGTACTCTTCCACTTACTGGCATATGCAATTCTAGCTGCTGTTATCAGGTGTAAGGTCTTTACTTGACTTTTTTTTAAAATTGTTAATCGCTGCTGTTGGGGTTCTTGATGTAAATAAACAATTTTCCATAATGAACCAGGCTGTTCATTTTTGGCTCTAGTGTTTTGTTCCATCACTAAGTGCCACCATTATTCTGTTTTCTGCCTGCCGGTGTGAGAGCTAAGGCTGAAACCGACATGCCTCAAGAGACAGCAAACAGCTCGGAAACAGAAGACTGCATTGGGTGTCATGGAACAACTCGAAAGGGGGAAAAATGGGCTGAGCAGAGAGAATCGTTCAAAAGAGCCACTTCTCACTCATTAATTATCGATGGTGGAGCAAGACAAAGCTCTCTAGACAAAGCCCTCTGGTTCTGCAAGATGACATTATTATAGAAAACAATGAAATATACATCACACAAAGAAAAGGGGAAGATGAACTAAAAAGGGGTAAAAGCAGCCATGGGAGAGAGAGGGCAATTTCTAAATCATCCGATGAAAGCATGAGGGGAAAGAAAAGCCTTCTCTCAACTGAGATAAAACAAATGTTTGTTCTCATCGGATTTAGCTGGCACTGTCTACAGATGCATGAGGAATACAGATGAAGGAGGGCACCCCTCAATCTCCTTGAATGTTTAGAGTGTGTGTGTGTGTGTGTGTATGTGTGTGTGTGTTGAAAAACCCTTTGACTCCAAACAGAGTCTCCCACCCTATCACATACCGGTTGGTTTCTCAGGATCGCTGCCATAGTAACCAGTCGTCAGGAGCCCTTTCACAGCCACATTTTCCAAGAGATTTCCTTTACACGTCCAGTCACTGCAGTCCTTGCAAGTCCGGACGCCAGCTGTGGGAATATAAGAGAGACAAAGAACGTATGAAAGAATGGGCCAACGAGGGACCCCCAGATGAGTCCCATGATTGAGTTCCCACACGGACAAAAAGCAAAGCGGGTCACGTTGGAGATAAGGGGGAGGTGGGGGAAATCTCAAATCCCCATCAGCTACAACACCTTTATTTAGGCCAGGCAGAAGGGACTCAGGCATTTATATACAGTGTAAAACAGACCTGTTTCTCTTATTTTATTTAATAGGTGCATTTCTGCAGAGGATTGCCAACCTTTCCAATACACCTTTATTTAGGCCAGGCAGAAGGGACTCGGGCATTTATAAACGGTCTGTAGAACAGACTTGTTTCTCTTCTTTTATTTAATAGGTGCATTTCTGCAGAGGATTGCCAACCTTTCCAATACTCAATGCAGGTATTACTTCCCATGACAGCCTGGAAGGTGTTTTGTTTTTTGGACTACAGTTCCCAATATCCCCCAGCCAGTGGAGCCAGTGGCCATGCTGGCCCAAGGGATTCTGAGAGTAACACTTCCAGACTCCATTTTCCATGCTGAGGTGAATACTTAGGACAATACATGAAAAATAATGCTACCTTTAGCGATGGACTTGATTTCTCGTCCTGGCTGGACCAGATCGGGATGTATCTGCTGATTTCCAAGTTCAACCCAGTTGCTGTGGCTGTAGAAATCCTAGTCAGAAACAAGTATTATTTGTGGCTGTTGGTTTTAGTATCTCCTGTTTTACTGACTGTGGGTGCTGGTAGTACTCACACCTCTGGGGAGAGACAACTGTTCTTGTCGGTTAAAGCAGATCGGCTTTTATTGCTTGAATTGTTAATGTGAAAAGGTAAAAAAATATGTTAAATATAAATAGTAACAAAGGTTAAGAACCAGTGGGTTAAAGCATATCGGCTTTTATTGTTTGAATTGTTAATGTGAAAAGGGCACAGTAAAAAATAGGTTAAATATAAATTAATCTCAGAACGTGATGTGAATAAGAGATTACAGTCACCCTAAAAAAATCTAGTCTAGAAGTTTAGGTTAGAGATGGCGTCCAGACACACTTGCTTTAGGAGTTAAACTCAACCAGAAGCAAAATTACACACGCACACTGATACATAGCTTTACTTTTTCTTTACTTGCCAGATCACCAGTAAAGTAGCTACCAGTTTTTAAAGTATTTTTAAAAACACAGACATATTTGTCTCGGAAACTCTGAATTTTATACTAAAAACCAGTAATGTAAATCATGATATCACCAGGTTTTAGGACAAAATGGAAAGGGTTCAGGATAAGACTCATGGTAGAAGTTAGAATTGTACATTACTGGTGAGCTCGCGATCCCAAACTTTACCACCAGAATGTGGCAGCAGAAAGGATTATGTTGATGAAGGGAAGCATCAGCCACCGCATGCTTTAAGCTCCAGTTCTGCGCCAGCTTTTCTGAAGAGCTCTGGAACACTAAAAGGCTTGTCCTTTTTGTAATCTTGTGGTGATCCCATAAAGATATTATAACACCTAACCTGGGAGTTAAGACATGATTCTGTGGGTGAGTGCTGGACTTGTGGCAGAGCAATTAACAGGGAGCCTGGAAACTACACTTTGATGAAATTGAAATTCAGAGTCAAACCACAAGATAAAGGAAAAGCATTTTATGCACAGGTAGCGTTTTAATTCTCTTAACAAAGATGTGTTCTCCAACAATCGGACTTGCAAATAAAGCCCGTGTTTACCTTCTAATGGCCAACCACAAAATAAAGCTCAATGGAATGCAAGGAGCTGAGGGAAACCCTGCACTGTGGCAAACAGATGGGATTAACATCTTAAAGAAGCACCATGTCCATTAAAATCCCTTCCAGCTCAGCAGTTCTATTATTATAATGTTCATCCTTCTCCTCCAACCACCCGCCCCCTTGCCTAGTGCCACATAGCAGCCCTGGTGCATTTGCAGGCCCCAAATTAGACTATCTCAAGTTCAAGACCAAGCACAAATTTCTTTTCCTGCCCTTGCTTATGGGTCCGTACATTTTGGCATTAGCACCTGTAAAGAATGTAGCAGCTGGCCCAGCTTGACCCGGGCGATGCTGTACTGCTCCGAGCGCACCGCTTGAAGGATCTCTTTGCGGGCCTGCAACAGCCAAGCGTTGCTGGAGTAGATGAGCTCAGAATCAAAGTGGAGCACGGGGTCGTTTCGTGTGGTACTGTCGAAGTCCATGGCGGCATTGGCATTGCCCACTTGGGCCATGGCCCCACAAAAGCGCTTGGGTGACACCCCAGGACCATAGAAAGCAGCAAAGATGTCATCAGCCAAAAGGGTCTTGTCCTAAGTGAAAGAGAGAGAGGTCTCACACACACACACATACACACATTCTCCCATGCCTTTTGGTCATAAAAGAGCTTGGAAAGGTTACATTTCGCTGACTGGTGCTTTGGCAGTGGTGCAAAACCTAATGTCTTTTCTGTGTTGTTTCCCCAATCAATAACATCTCCCTACAACTGGGCCTGTTTTCTACTGGCAGCTTCCAGGGGGAAGAGGAAGGATTTTGACCCAAACGCATCTCAATGGAAATTCCAGCCAACCTCGCACAGCAGAGTCCTTTCAGGAGGAAGAGAGGATCACTGTACAGTATCTTTTGATGGGCTGTGCTTCGAGGCCTCTGGACAAAAGCATCTCTTGGGAGTGTACCGTTTAAGGGATGGAAAAATGACAACATTGCAGCTAGGGACAGAAAACATTTGTGTGTCTTCTCCCTCAGTGTGGGATTCTGAGAGTTCTAGTCCAAAAGCAAAAAGTCCACATAACTCTAGTTCTCCAAATTTTATTTTTTGGTCCTAGCACCAGCTTCTGCTTCTTCTATACAAAGCAGGAGAACGTCATCTGTGTGAGAGAGAAATCACACAGAGGGAGTCACTCAAAATCTGAAAACGCTTCTTTCTGGTCTAACAAATTTCCCAGACAGTGCCACTGTGGTCTGGGTCCAATAGCTTTCAAAATTTAAAAACAACAATGACAACAAAGCTGTCTATGCTAGCCGGGCGATTCTGGGAATGCGAGTCCAAAAAGGAAAAATTTCCAAGCTCTCATATAATTTCCAAGCACCAAAGTGCTACATATGCTAATGTGTTCTTTATTTTATTTATTTATTTATTTTATATCCCGCCTATCTGGTCAGTTAAGACCACTCTAGGCGGCTAACAGCATAAAATAGAACAGTGAATATATATAAAACAATTTTACATAAAAATAGACATGATAAAATAGACAAATAGAAGGGAGAAAGAGGGAATCAGGGATTGACTGGAGGGAAGGCCTGCCAAAACATCCATGTTTTAAGTTGATTTTTAAAGGTACCCAGCGAGGGGGCCCCGCGAATCTCAGGAGGTAGACTGTTCCAGAGGCGAGGAGCCACCACCGAGAAGACCCGATTTCTTGTCTTTTCCTTCCGGGCCTCCCTCGGCGTTAGTAGTTCTTAAAGGAACAGACATAATCCTTTCCTTCAAAATTTAAAAACAACAATGACAACAAACCTCTCTATGCTGGCTGGGCGATTCTGGGAATGCAAGTCCAAAAAGGAAAAATTTCCAAGTTCTCATATAATTTCCAAGCACCCAAGTGCTACATGTGCTAATGTCCCTTCTTCTATGTAGTTCTTAAAGGAACGGACATAATCCTTTCCCGTCCTTTGCCAACTGGTGCTCCCAGAAGCAATGGACTACTGGTCTCATCTAGCCAGAGATGTTACCCACCTGGGGAGGGCACACACTCTCTATTACCAACTTGAAAAGAACCATGTTCTTATAAATCACAGCAGTTTTTTTTCAGATGGCCCAGACTCCATTTTCTCTCACCTTGAAGTCTTCCTCCTGGAGACGTTTTCCCTCGGTGGAGTGAGACATCTCTGCGAAAAGCCGCACTGTGATGTTGAGAATGGCCTCCTCGGTTATGTCTTGGTGGGTGATGGACCCCCAGGTAAACGTCATGGCACGAGTCCAGAAATTGGGGAAGAAGGCATGGACTTCTTGTGGATGGAAGCACCACAGGATCAGCATAAACAGGAGATGCCAGAACCAGGCCAAGGTATGGTCCATACCAGATACATTTATATCTGAGACAGAGACAGAAAAGAAGAAATTGCATTGGAATCGGTAGCTGCTCATACTTTGGTGCTATCTTAGCAAAGGCAGAGGTGATGGTCTGGAGCAAGTCCCCTTGAGCCAGAAGCGACTTTAGGCTGATGTCCAGCTTCTGTCAAGGAGGCATGGTGGGGAATCAAACTCCCAACCTCTGGCTCTGCAGCCAGAGACCTAAACTGCTGAGCTATCCAACTCTTAGGCATCTGAGCACAGAAAGAACAGGAGAATCAGAGGGATGTGCCCAGGCTGACTGAATCCACGGCAATATCTAAATGGTCCAAGACATTTGCTGACTGAGGCAGAGGAACACACAGTGCCCCATTACTACCCAAATAAAAGTGTGTATTATCCAAAGCCAGACAAATTACTTCGGCACCTGAGGCAGAATATCCCACAGGGTCATATTGCGAAACAACTTAGAAAACACTTTCCAAAACATAATGATGTGCAGAAAGGAATTCTTTCGCATGCTCCATTATTCCTGGAATAATAATTTATTGTTCTGTTCACCTAGCACATGAACATCTGACTTTCTTCACTCACGCCGTTCAAGGAGTTCCCAGGCAATCCCAGACCTGCGGCAGCCAGAGGGAAGGCGCTGACTGAATCCATTGTTTGGTGGATCTTGTTTTTAAGAAAATCCCCATGACGTGTTTCAGATTTATAGAGCTAGATCACAGACACCAACGATGAGGCATACATAAGTCTGTATAATGTGATCTTGGGTTAGCAGCTGTTGCCTTAAAGCATACTAGTTCAAATTCAGTAGTGAGAAGCAACTAGATTTTTATGTATTTATTTATTTATTGTAACTGGTCTTAAAAAGCATACTAGTTCAAATTCAGTAGTGAGGAGCAACTAGATTTTTATGTACTTATTTATTGTAACTGGTCTTACATTGTACTGGTATTAAATTTCTACCCCATCCATCTGGTGGAAAGCTTACAACAAAATGTATACATAAATTAAAACATCAAATAAAAAGGGAAAAACCCACCCCCATAGGCCACCAACATGACAAACACACAAGCACAAATCCTAAGACAGCGATAACAATGACATCAAATTAAGCAATTTTAAAAAATCAGACAATCAAATAACTAAATAGGGAGAGGATTCTCAAAAGCCTGACTGAGGAGCAATGTTTTTATTTGTTGTCTGAATGCTAGAAGCGTGATGGTAATGAGTTCCATAACGAGTTCCCAGTTGTAGAGTTACGGGATACACTGTCTTTCTCCCACAACTGAGATTCAAAGGGGCTTATAGAGCAGTCAAACACAAAAGAAAATTAAGATACAATAGAACTACAAACATTAACACAGGATTAAATTCATTATAATACTAGAATTAAAATTAAACCCCTTGGGGAAAAAATACTAACACTAGTTTACTTTAAAAAGAGAGCCAGCACAAGGAGTAAATTTTTACTGTCTTAAGGCACTTAAGTTCAGGGATATTGGGTCCGGGTTCCAAATCTGAGTTTTTGGCAAGTTCAGGGATATTGGGTCCGGGTTCCAAGTCTGAGTTTTTGGTACCAAGTGCCAAGTCCCAAGTTTTTGGTACCAAGTGCCAAGTCCCATGTTCCTCACAAAAAAAAAATGGAACGGGTGGATGGGTTCTGTGTGTGAGGTGGATGGGAAGGTCTGAGGCTTGTAACCACCTTTATATTATAGATTTCTGTTAAAAGAGGAACCTTGAGATTTCCCCAAGAACCCATATCTGAATGTATCTAAATAGCCATCACGCCTCAGAGCCTGACACCACCAAGTATCACTTCACTCAGATTTTAAAGTGTCTGCCTTTTTAAAAAGTACGATGCATAAGCATGCCTGTGTGTTGAACGCGACAGAAATACATCTGTAAATACATTACGGCAGAAACCCCTGACAAGGATCCAGAAAGGTGTGAGTAGAAACACTCTGGGGATGTGTGTGTTGAACGCGACAGAAATACATCTGCAAATACATTACGGCAGAAGCCCCTGACAAGGATCCAAAAAGGTGTGAGTAGGAACACTCTGGGGATGACTACACTGGATCTTAGCCAAAAGGCCGAGAAGCGATGAGCTGATTCGCTTGTGATCACCAGGGAAAAAATGGAGTGAACCAGCCCATCCCCACAGCAGACAAAATAGGCCATCAAAATAGCAGGACAAATGCAAGTCTGATTGCATGCTGTCACTTCCTATTGTACTTTGGGCTCTCATATTTAAATGATGCTGGATATTACTTCATTTCCTTTGAAATATGATGAGCCAAGAAAGATTGGTACCTGAGACAAAGCAGCCAAGGTCACCCTCTGCCACATAGAGGCAAGTCCTGGTATATGCAGTGGCTCAAGAGGGCCATGTTATTTTGGCACATGAGGATGGGAAATCCCAAAAATGCCTCTGTCTCTCCTTAGTAGTAAAATCCTATAACAGTAAATAAAATAACTCATAGCTGTCCTATTCAAGATGATCAAAAATCTGCTGCTTGAAGCAGCTGCTCTACACCTTTGGCATCTTTTTGATGATCTCTGGTTTTATAGGCTGATTTTTATGGTTTTGACACCATCTTCTATCTTAGTTGGTTGGGATGTGGTGGGACATGGTGGCGCTGCGCGTTAAACCGCTGAAGCCTCTGTGCTGCAAGTTCAGAAGGCCTGCAATCATAAGATCAAATCCGGTCACCGGAGTGAGCCCCTATCGCTTGTCCAGGTCCTGCCAACCTAGCGGTTTGAAAGCATGCAAAATGCAAAAATGCGAGTAGATAAATAGGTGCCACCATGGTGGGAAGGTAACGGCGTTCTGTGTCTAGTCGCGCTGGCCACCTGACCACGGAAGATTGTCTTCAGACGAAACACTAGCTCTATGGGTTGGAAACGGAGATGAGCACTGCCCCCTAGATTCGGACACAACTGGACAAATTGTCAAGGGGAACCTTTACCTTTATCTTAGTTCAGAATTTATTAGACAGTTAGGCTGGGCTCTCTTAATTGATGTCCTTATTTGATTTTAGTTTATGCTGCTGACCTGACTGCAAGCCACTCAGAATAGTGGCCTCGCCACTAGATGGGTAGGGTAAAAATTGAAGTGAGAAAGAAAGAAAGAAAGAAAGGAAGAAAGAAAGAAAGAAAGAAAGGAAGAAAGAAAGAAAGAAAGAAAGGAAGAAAGAAAGAAAGAAAGAAAGGAGATGTCTGACCTGGAGATCCACTTGCTCCTCCTAATAAGAAGGGGAAAGAGAGCTGTCCTGATTTTACCACTGAGCCACAGGGATTGTTGTTGTTTAGTCATTAAGTCATGTCCGACTCTTCGTAACCCCATGGACCAGAGCATGCCAGGCCCTCCTATCTTCCACTGCCTCCCGGAGGTGGGTCAAAAGCCACTGGGAAAGATCTCCACATAATGGGTGACTTGACCCTCAAATGTGTTCTAGGTAGGTTCATCCATCTACCAGCCTGCTCCTTACCTAGCATCTGCTACCTTTACTTCCTCACTGAGCATGAAAGATGTCAAACCCCCCCCCCACCGCAAGACTGCCACCTGAAATGGCAGACCAAGGCTGGGGTCCTAGAGGAAAAAAGCTGAGCTGCCTCTTCACTCAGGGCTCTACCTGCCATTATTTAACAGGATAAACCAAGGGTATAATCCCACACCAACCTGTGCAGTGTTATCACCGGCAAACAGCAGGTGCTCTGCAAAAGGTCCTTCCATAAAAGCTAATTCTGGGTAATCCAATCAAGTAAATTCATTTTGCATCAGGAACGGTGTCATGATCACTTTTCACGTATAAGTTCATTACACACCATTGCATGAGGAAAAAACTGGGGAGCCCCCATTCCTCTCTTTTTGGGTGGTTTGCCATATTTCTCACAAACTCTGCATGCTGACAGTTGAGATCTGTCTTGTTTTCCAAGAACTTGGCTGCTCAGGCAGGCAGCTTGGGCTTCAAAGATAAGAGCTGCTCCTCTCCTGACTTCGCCCAAAACACACCACGATCAGCGCATGCTGCTGAAAGTAGAGGAATCCAGGCTTCTCCTTCCAGCCTTACTCACTACCTGTTAGAAGGTAGCTTAGCCGCCTAGAGTGGTCTTAACCGACCAGATAGGCGGGATATAAAATAAATAAATAAATAAATACCACAGAAGCCCCCTTGCAGTGCCCTGAGAACCACTGGCATTTGCTATTTCTCATTAGTCCCACTTAGCCAGCCTTGTTTGATGTGAACAAGAAACCTTTGGTCTCATTTAAAGCTCCTGGCTGGCTGTCCTGAACAGGAACCACTTAATGTGTCCCGCTAGACAATCTGCTTATTTGGTCAAAGACCCTCCTGCTGACTCTAATAAGAGCCTGCAAAAGGTATCTTCCTTGACAGCAATTCCCAGAATCCAGTTGCAGAGACGTGTGGGCTAGTCCAAACATTTTTACATTTCTAGACTTTGCTTTTACTGTTCTGAACTGACAGACAAGATAACATATGACTTAACTTGTTGTGTCATGTATATCCCTATAGAGTGGTGCCTCGCTTGACGATGTTAATTCGTTTCAGCGAAATCGCTGTAGAGCGAAAACGTCAAACGAAACAAAAAGTCCCATTGAAACACATTGAAAACCCGTTCAATGCGTTCCAATGGGCTAAAAAACTCACAGTCCAGCGAAGATCCTCCATACGGCGGTCATTTTTGGTGCCTGTATAGCGAGGAATCCGTCCTAGAAAACAGCGGGGGTGGGTGGGTCTGAAAGCCGGTGGCCATTTTGAAACCCGATGATCAGCTGTTTGCTGATCATCGTAAAGCGAAAAATCGGTTTCCGAAACAGGGAACCGATCATCGTCAAACGAAAATCGTCCATTTAAAACATCATTTTGTGATCGCAAAAGCAATCGCAAAAATGTTGATGTAATGTGGATTCGTCATACAGTGGGGTAATCGTCCAGCGGGGCACGACTGTATCTTAAACTGGGAATAACTTTAGGGATGTGTATCAGCCACAATTTCCAATAGCACTGCACAGATGTGTAGGCATGTACATCATCATGACATGAAGGCAATAGCCTTTTCCTGTTCTTTTATCCTTGCAGATATATTTACCCTATACAAGGACGTTCTATTCAGTTAAAGAGAAGAGCTACCACAAATGAAGCCAAACTTCTTTTAAAGTCATCTAAACCAGCAGCCCTCACCCCATCTGTGTAATTAGGAAATACATTCTCTTCTGTTTGTGTCCTAAATCTATTGTCAATTAATTTCACACAGAATTCCCCCATTCTAGCACCACTATCTATGAGAAAAAGCAAAACCTGCACCCATGAAATTGGTACATTCATAAACACTCATATTTTCTCTAAGGGAAAGAGGTGCTTCAAGATTGTAGAGATTCTGAGTATGGAACTTAAAAAAAACCCACAATCCTATTATATCATAACCTGGGAATAGCTTCAAGCAGACATTAACGCCCAATTAAAGAAGAGGTCTGCAGGTCTGCAGCCTAGCTGAAGTTCTATTTGCTTTTGTAAAGGCAAAACAAAATGTTATTTAATATAATCCTACTTAGTGGGTTGCTATAACCTTCTCATTAACACTTTCTATTACCACTGTTTCTGTCTCTTCCCACTTTATGGTCTATCATATGCAATCTCATGAAGAGTCGACCATGACTATTTATTTATTTATTCAATTTATATGCCGCCCACACTACCCAGAGGTCTCTGGGCGGCTTACAATAATTAACACCACGCAATTTGCTCATATGGGTTTTTTAGTATGTGTATGGCACTGTTTGTTATGACCTGTAGTCATGACAATAAGCTACTTATTGTAAATTCAAAGAGCATGATCTTGTGTGCGTGTGAGAGAGAGAGTAACCTATATGATCCAAAGTTACAGCAAATTACTTTTGTGGTCAAACTACATGAGGTCCCAAGTAATGCATGCCAATTCTAGGCACAAGGAGAGCTTTAACCTTTCCCTTCGGCTGCATACATGGCAGTCGCAACCCAGTCCCTGTGCTGGAATTTACATTTAAAAGAGACATTTACACAACTGCTAACTGCGTTGCATCTAATGTGGAGAAAGCTCTATACCACACTGCTGCACAAGCTGCACCCATCATTCCCTGCTTTCTGTACACAGCACAGCAACAACAACACACACTCTGTTTAGAGTTACACATTTACACCCAGTCATTGCCCCCAACTGGGAAGTGGTCCGGTTGAGGAAAGGGTTTCTTTTTTTTTTTTTACTGCAATTACCCAAAACTGACCCCAGCCTCTGAAATGAAAAGTTCAGCCAAGACCTGTGTGAAATGTACTTACCCCTAACAATAAACAGATTAACGTTGGTTAATCTTGAGGCAGGTGAGAATCGTCACATCAGGTGCCAAGGCAAGCTGGGGTGGGGGGCTTAATCAAACCATGTTAATTAGGAGGGAGGGGGAGAGGAGGCACGAGATGACCAGTCAGTGCGATGGCACTTTAGCTGGATACCTGGGGAAGGTCTGAATCAGGCCCAATGGACTGCACCTGTTCCCAGCTGTAAACCCATTCAGTGGGTAGGACTAGGTTTTTGAGATAAGAGGAGGAGGAGGATGAAGAATAACAGGCGGAGAGAGGGGCAGAGAGAAACATATGTGATAAAGATGTCTTTCTACTGCCATTTAAGCCGCCCAGAGACCTTTGGGTGGTGTGGGCGGCATATAAGTAAAATATGTAAATACATTTAGGGCTGAAAGGTGCGGGGCTCAGGTATTAAAAGGCTAAAAAAAAAAGGCGTTGGAAAGAGAAAGTATTGTAAGGGGCTAAGCCCACCAAGGTGCAGCCCCCCCCCATGTCTCCCCGACCTGCACCCTGAAGGGAATCCTCACAGCCACCACACCCCAAAGAAAACCCTCATTCTCACAAACACACACACCCGAGACCCAGCAACCCCGTCCTCCGGACTTACCCAGGCAGGCTTCAGGCGTCTGTCTCCTTGAGCGTCCGGAGGCGTGTGCGTGTGTGTGTGTGAGTGCGCGCGCGCGCTACCGTGTCCTCGGCTATGAACGTGGGAACGGGTAGGTGGGTGGGGGCGTGTGGCTGCCAGCTCCCGGTGCCCACGCAGCGCCCAGCTCGCCAGCGCCTATTAATAGCAGGTGGCACAAAAGGCTGGGATCGGGGCGGAGAGGAGGGGGGGGCTACCCTCCGTGCCATCCAGTGGTGCAGCCGCTGCAGTCACGGGCTATAATTACAGCACACGTGAGCGATAGGACGCCGCCGCCGCCGGAGGGGTGCTGAGCGAACGGCGAACGAGCAAAGAAAAGGGGGGGGGAACCGAGGCGGGCAGAGATAACACCCGGTGAAACCCGGAGTGGCTCCACCCCAAAAAGGACTCAGGCGTCCTGGCTGGGCTCCTGAACCCCGACGTCCCCTTTCCCGCGCCCGAAAAGCTAGGAGCCCCCCTCCCCATTTGCCCTTGGAAACTGCCCGCCTAGCCCAGAAACGAAGAGGGGCTGCCTTGTGCCCGCGCAAAGGGAACCAGGGCCGGCCTCTCCCCTGGAGCACCTGCTTATTGGTCAGCTTTTAAGGGGCTCGGGGGTCCCTTTGTTGTTTTCCCGCTTTTTGCAGCCCGCTGGGGATAAACCTCAGTCATGGCTTGATTTTTTGCGGTGTTCGAGGCACAAGAGCAGAAGGATTGTTTTCAAGGCAAATTTATTCCTAGCCAAACTCATCATTCCTAGTTTTAATCTCCCACCTGCCACTTCACCTCTTGAGCGGCCACAGTTACGGTAACCCCTTTCCCAGGGTTTTCTAGCTGTAATGTTGTCACAAGTGGTTTTATTAGTCCCTCCTTCTGGTGGCACTTTGGGGCCACCTCTGGAGTTTGCCCGTAGCCACATAGGTGGAAGGATACATAATCCCATCAGCCACGCAGTGTCTAGGCTAGGTGATGTGAGCTGGCTGCCTTCTGTGGAGCGGCACTGGAGATTTGAGCTGGCACAACACAGTGAGATATTTTGTCCACTATATGTAACCACTGACAACTTGCATTATTAAGGTCATGGTCATTATTCATCCTTCCTGTCTGCATCCCTCTTCGCACTGACAACCATGTGCATAAACCTATGGGACTGATACTGCACTCCCATGTGTCTGAAGAAATGCATGGTAATCTGAAGTCCGTGTACATTCATGTTGAAATACATCTTAGTATACTTTTGGTTTGATTTCTGGATTTGTTATATTCCTGTAAAAGTTGATATAATAACCGCAGACAAGGGCATAGCTGTTTGGAGTGTGCACACTTATCTTCGATCCATACTTCTACACTCCTCACACACACACTAATTCAAGTTTTTCCCCAATCCATTGCCTTGGCCAGAACCCAGATGGTATCCAGAATCCTGAACCTTCTGTCCTGAGATACCGAAGCCCTGGGTCTTCCTTGCCACTTTCTGCAATGTTTTCTCCCTGAAAGGTGGGTTCTCGTCCTCTGTGTTCAGGGAGACTGCACAAGTTGGGCTCAGGTATCCACTTATATTTTCGAGCCCGTGTAGCAAAGTCCCGGAGGTACAACAGAGGAGTTCAGCAGGCAGGACCTGCCCTACCCTTAGGCATAGGGAGGTACCAACCTCAACAGGATGGCACCAGGCAGCATGGGTGGCTGCCATAGTAGTTTCCCCTCCCCACCCCCAGTTGATTCCATGTGTTGAAGGGCCAAGCTGTGTCGTTCCCAGACAACCTGTTCCTCTTGGATTCATGCACCAGTTGATATGTGTGCATCAAAGAGGGAAGACTGCAGGGCTGATGCAAAACATTTTGCTGACATAGCAGCCCATTGCATCCCCTTTTTTCCCATTCAAATCAAAGTGCGCAGTACTCAATGCCAGACCTGTTCCCCCGGGCCCTGAGGCAGAAAAATCACACAAGCAGTTTTCCCTGGCAGCAGGTACAACAATGAGAAAGTAAACAACCATCTCCTTTCCTTTCTCTTAGGTTCAGCTGCCTCGCTTAGCCTAATGATAGTGACAGACCTGGAATGGTTCACCAGGATGAACCAACAGATCCCCCTGGCCTGAAGGAAGTCAATTGGGAGCAAGGCTTGGAAAGGTAGAGAACAGATGCACTCACCTACCAATGGGTTAAACATCTTGATGAACATTTTAAAAGGGGAGGTGTATATTCTTGCATTAATCATTAATAAAGAAGGTACCCCAGAAACGTAGGTGGGCAGACAGAGATAAATCAAACAGCATATATTGAAACAGAAAACTGATTCATTGGATTCTTAAGTCAAATGGGAGTTTAATTAAGGGTACAACCAGGGTGAGCAAGGTGTGGCCCTAGAAATGTTGCTAAGTCACAACACTTAGTATTCCTCCCCCTTGACGATGCTGCCTAAGGCTGATGAGTTTTGTAATTTATTTATTTTATTTATTTATGTATTTATTTTATTTAATTTATATGCCGCCCACTCTACCCAAAGGTCTCTGGGCGGCTCACAACAATTTAAAATTCAACACAATAAAATATAAAATGATTAAAATACGATTAAAATACAAATTAAAATTTAAATTGCCATCATCAAGACCCACAGTTAATGTTATTTCAATTAAAAGCCTTCTGGAACAGGAAGGTTTTGACCTGGCGCCGAAATATCATCAGTGTCGGCGCCAGGCGAATTTCAGTTGGGAGGGCGTTCCATAGTCTGGAACACTATCTGGAGGGCAACACCTTGTCTACTGTATTCCTGGAATACAGAAGAAGCTCCATAGCTCTCATTGGTTCTTTTCCCCAGTTTTTAAATAGATTTTTAATAGCACCTGAGACACAAATGAGGAGAAAAGCTTTACTTGTTTAATATCTTCTCAGGTGGTTGCTGTGAAAGACACGGGGCCAGATCGGATAAAGTGGATGTGCTGAGCAATGTTGTGGTCGCAATGTTGTAGTCGCCATATTAGCCTGTTTCAGCAGTAGCCAAAACCGAAGTGTGCTGATACTTTAAAGCCGAACAATGTTTTAAACATTAAACATTACCCCGGAGTGCCAGAAATATGAACAAGTGGGTCCTAGATCCAATCAAGATCTGAACCATCTCTGTGGGTAAAAATGTTGAACCCGAGTGTGTCCTACTTTGGGCACATCATGAGAAGTCAGGATTATCTGGAAAAGACAATAATGCTGGGAAAAATGGAAGGCAGCAGGAAAAGGGAAAGACCAAATATGAGATGGACTGACACACTAAAGGAAGCCACAGGATTGAGTTTGCAAGAGCTAAGCAGAGCTGTTGAGGACAGGGCCTCTTGGAGATGGCTCCTTCCTAGGAACACCATAAGTCAGAAGTGACTCGACAGCACATTTAAGAGCAAAAATGTTTATTTCAGAGTGAGTTTTCCTGGATGACAGTGTGGTATATCTGAAGTAGTCTATAATCCAGGAAGGTTTACACTGAAATCACCTTTTTAATCTTAATGGCACCATAGTTTTTGTTGTGTTGTTTTCTTAAGCCTTTAGCAACTAGTAGACACCAGGGCTACTAGGCCTCACTAAAAAAAAAGTAGAAGTCCTTAAGTGCAGATGGTCAGGGCTGGCCTAAGACATTTTTCTGCCTGAGGCATCGGAACACGTCGCTCTCAAGCTCCCAACGGAAGGTATAGGGTATCCGACACCAGCCAAATTACTTTTGTATGCGGAAGACAATCCCATGAATTCTTCCCTACCTCACTGGCAGTAAATATACAGCCGCATCAAATAACTTCAATTATGCTGCCCTTTCTTGGCATCCAAAATTTGCTGCTTGAAGCAATTCCCTCACTCTGCCCAATGATAGGACTGGCTCTCTTCAGGGCTTATACGTAATATGCCTTCTGCACCCATCTGCAGTGCACCTCACCCACAAGAGATAAATTTTAGCCCATCAGGAAAAGGTTCTTCCATATTAAGCTAAGTGCCTTCTTGGCTCAGAACAGAGAACTGAGTCACGCCAGGAGATTGCTGAGTACATACAAGGAGTACCCTACTGAATTACCAAGGCAGAGGAGGTGGGGCACAGAAAAAAGGAACAGGCTGGAAGCTAGGATATCTTTGGGGGGGGGAAGGGTTGTGGCAGGCAAAGAGACTCGAAAGCAGAATTTCTCAACTACATATAAAATTTAGCGGCACATTGGAAGAAACACCGGGGTGCAGAGAATGCCAGGTTAGCCAAGCAGTTCCTGTGCTGCGCTGTTGAAAGCACCTAGCTCTGCAGGACATGTTTATAGCTGTGCCATGAAAAGCTTCACTGGCTATAAAATTTCTGTGTCGCCAATGACTGGCAAAGGGCAAAAACTACTGAGAAAAGCTGGCGAACGACAACAGATTAATAATGTTTGTGTGTGTGGAATCTAGGAGCTGTATTTCAACACACCCGCCTCGTCCAAAGTCAGGGTACTAAAAAAGTTTAGTTGGCATAGCATAGGCATCCTTCAGTCTCGAGAGACTATGGTAACATGCTCTGAATCGAGGAGTGTCCTCTCCAGAGCATGAAGCCTGGGTAAAGTAGTATGGAGGATAGGCTGTTACCCAAGTAGCAAATCCCTCCTCTCCACGTGTATAAAATGGTCCAATGGAAAGGCAAGAGCCAATACAACTGGTTCTAGCAACGTCGCAGGAGTTGGCAGAATGGTTGGCTTTCGGGACTCCAGCTCCAGATTTTGTCTCTGGGTTAACTCCTGAAGCCTTTTCCATGAGTGGATATAGCCTCAAGGCAGTGGAGGTTTGAAATCAGAATTTTCCTTCTCTCTAATAGTGCAGAAGTAGGATTCGACCCTTAAAACGTTCCTGCCTCCCAGGTGTATGAAATGCTAATTGGCTTTCCTATGTACCATATTAGGGCCACAGATGGAATCTGAGAATTTGGCATAGTGTGGAGGCAAATACAGAGCGAAGAGGTGGGTCTATATGTGTGGGAGATAATACGCCAAGACAGTGGGGGACTAGGGAGTTCCTGATTGGAGACACGAGTTCATGCGCCTTCTCTCTAATAGTGCAGAAGTAGGATTCGACCCTTAAAACGTTCCTGCCTCCCAGGTGTATGCAATGCTAATTGGCTTTCCTATGTACCATATTAGGGCCACAGATGGAATCAGAGAATTTGAGAATTTGGCATAGTGTGGAGGCAAATACAGAGCGAAGAGGTGGGTCTATATGTGTGGGAGATAATACGCCAAGACAGTGGGGGACTAAGAAGTTCCTGATTGGAGACACAAGTTCATGCGTTTATCAGCACAGAGGGTGAAGGAAGGCATAGCTTTTTGAGCTCAAACTTGAGGATTGGGCACACTTTCTACATGCCTATGACTTCAATAGTAGTAGTAACAGAAAGGAGTGAGTGTGTGTGTGTGAGAGAGAGAGAGAGAGAGAGAGAAAAGAAAGAAAGCTTATTTTTGAGAAGGCAGTAAGTTCCACATTGATACCATAATGGTACCACATCCTGTCATGCAACATCACATTAAAAACCTTCATTGGAGGTTTTTAAATGGTGATTGAATGGCATTTATTAAGGATGCTTAAGCTGCGACTTTCCTACTTTGGCAGAGGCTGAACGTGATGATCCTTAGTGTCCCTTCCACCTTTACAGCTCAATGATTCTAGAACTAGTTTGACGGGTCACTGTTACATGAGTTTGTTTGCCCAAAGATCTGAGGAAAGTTAAGAATATCAGGTTTAAATTTGTTGTGTGTCAACAAGTACAGTGGACCCTCGACTTACAGACGGCTCGACTTACAGACTTTTCGAGTTACAGACTTCTCTGGCTGCAAAATTTAGATTCGACTTGCAGCCAGAGAATCGACTTACAGACCAGGAAAAAACCAAAATGGAATAAAAATAGAATAAAAACCCTTCCACCTTTACAGCTGAATGATTCTAGAACTAGTTTGACGGGCCACTGTTACATGAGTTTGTTTGCCCAAAGATCTGAGGAAAGTTAAGAATATCAGGTTTAAATTTGTTGTGTATCAAAAAGTAGTCCAGTACCCACAAGTACTCCGTATATCTAAATCAGGTTGTTGTGTACTTTTATGCTGCTAGTTGGGAACCAAGCTGATGGGAAAAGCACATAAGTTCTTGCTGGAGTTTTTACAACCTTCCATGCTGCCTGTAGTAGGTGTGGCCGGGAGGGCCCTTCCTGGGCTGTCAATCTATGTTCTATCCTCATAGGTGGTGTATCAATCAGTGTGCACTTCTTGGGTCACTAGGGACATGGTCTTCTACTGGAAGGTCAATGCGCAGATGTTTTTGCCCTCCAGTAGACTATTGAGGAGCGGTTGTATTTTGTCCCAAAGAAACCTGTGATATGCACGCATTGCTGCTTGATAATTCGCCAGTGCAGCAGTGCCGTAAATCCTCCTTCCACTGATATCTATCATGTTGTTTGGGGCTGTATTATGGCAACCTTTGAATTTTTTGAGAGAATCCTTGACTTCGATGGAGTTTGGCTGTTCTATCTTAGCAGGAAGGTCGGTCTCTTCATCATGTCCCAAAGAAACCTGTGATATGCACGCATTGCTGCTTGATAATTCGCCAGTGCAGCAGTGCCGTAAATCCTCCTTCCACTGATATCTATCATGTTGTTTGGGGCTGTATTATGGCAACCTTTGAATTTTTTGAGAGAATCCTTGACTTCGATGGAGTTTGGCTGTTCTATCTTAGCAGGAAGGTTGGTCTCTTCTTCATCGTTTGTTTTATAAAGGTTCTCTACCCACCTAGACATTGGCGGCATGGTGGAAGGTTTTTGCCAGGACTGCTTCATGAGATCTAAAAGTGAAGGGAACATACTGATATAGACCAGAGCCATTCTTATTGATTTGGTCATAGAGTGGGTCCTCCTCCTTGGTGGAGGAGGCTGTTGAACTTCTATTTGCAGAGACTTGGCCATTCTAAGAATGAAGTTGGAGTAGGACCTAAAATCCTCCGGTGAGGAGGAAAGATTTATGTCTCCCACATCCAGTTCAGGAATGGTGGCTAGGATGGAAGGGGATTCATCCAAGAAAGTTATCAGGATCTTGAAAGTGGGAATTGTCACGGATTGCCTGTGGTTCTTTCTCCAAGTCTAGTTGTCTCGGTGTGTTTTGCCTTAGGCTGAGATGTGCTGGAATTGAGAAGGTAAGTCTAGGGATAGCTATCTCTTTTTTAGATGTTGAGATTTTGGTTTTAGGCGGGGCCATCTTGGAACTGATGGCGCACGGTTGATGCTTGCCCTGGTAATTTGGTCGGAGAGTGTGTTGTTCTTGTTAGAAACCAAGGACTGGTCTTGGGACCTCCCACTGCAGGCGGGCTTTGAAGCAATGGATCACAAGATTGCCTGTCATTCTGAAATTTGTGTCTTCCTTGGCCTCAGTGTTGGGAACTTGGTGGCTGAGGAGTTTGAAGTGGATCCCTTCTGCTGAGTGGCTGGTATTGGGGGTTTCATTGCAAAATACTCTCTTGGCCTAGTTTCCTGTGTGAAGGATCTAGTATGTCAATGCTGGGTGGACAAAACTGGGGGCTTTGAAACTGTTTACAGTTGTGAGTGATCGGTCTGACGATGTTGCCACAGATGTTGCTTCAGTTCCGTAGACTTTTGCGGTCAAAACTGAATTAGTGGTTGTCCGGGTGGGCTGACCAATGTGGCCCCTTTTCTTCAGGCTGTTTGAAAGCCAAAGCTCTGAAAGGGTACTTTGTGGCAACCTCAATGATGAGGTTTCATGTCCATAAGGTGGTTGAGTGCAAGGCAATGGGCCAACAGATTTGATTCCCTGTATTGCCTGATAATCATAGAACGAAAGTGGATAAAGGCAGTAAGCGTGGCCTCAAAATAGTATTGAGCAGGGTGCATTGTCTCTTGGAGGTGATGTGATTGTGAATGCCTCTTCCTACGAGGGGACCTCCTGTCTTTCAAGGTTGAAGCAGTCAGAGGATGAGGAAAGAGATCACTCTCAGAATGCAAAGAACTCTTCAGTTTGAACACCCTTTGGGCTCTTTCAGAGTAAAGAGAGCTCGCTCAGAGTTTCTTGGGCAAGCTGCCTCCACTCCGAGGAGTGGCTAAAGGCAGATGAAATGGTACGTCATTTTTCCTGGGTGCAGAACCTAAGCATACCCAAGTCCCCTGGACCATCAGAGTCCTTGCCATGAAGTGAGCATTGGCCAAGATAAAGTTGTGATGTGGACATCTTGGAGGCTGGAGTGTGATGCCCTCTAGCCTTCTTAGATTCAGTTTTAGTCTTTGGGGAGTTGACTCTCTAGAGTCATTAGGCTTCTCCTAACGTGTGGTTCACACAGATCACAAAGAAGACACATTATGAGAACTGACACCCATTAGCGCAACATGAACAAGCTGAAGAGATTGCAGAATTCAGCTCCTAATTTTAAAAAAAATGGAATGGCTACATGTATTTTCAGATAACATAATTACAGCCATGGGGTAAATACAGCTCTGCTAACTCCCAGCTGCTCTTTTAAGTCTTGGGTCATAGGTGCTTCACTTGATTCCGCATTATTTGATGGTTACAATTTTGATGACCCACACAGGGATGTGTGGGCAGATGGAAAATCATTGCATTTCGAGGCACTCCAAAATGTCTTGCTGAGATGGCTCCATTCAGACACACAAGTTTCCCCTTGATGCTGCAGTCCATGAACAGTGAACCTACTTCTCCACCCCTGGTCTGAACAGCCTGTGCAGATTTTGCACCAACACCTTCTCTTTTCTCTTACACACACCAATGAAGATTTCACTTTTTAACTCAGCAAAATATTTTAATATAGTATCTTGAAGAAAAGAGAATAAACCAAGATGCGTCAACGAGGGGAAAAAAAACAGGTTTTGTTTGTTTGACTGAAAAAGATTTGCATTTAAAAAGTTTCCCAATCCTGCATCCCAACCTTCTGGGTAAATAGAATCTAACAGTCCTATGAGTTCCCTTCCTTCTGTTTCAAATCATTTTCTTGAAATTTTCAATGGCTTCCTCCGACTTCTGCAATTCAGTCTCACTCTGTTTCAGCTGAGAAAAGAAGAGCAAAATGTATTTATTGATGGGAAATCTATATTCTCTCCCATCCTCGTCTGAAATGCCCCTTCTTGTATTCCCCCATGAGAAACACATCAGTGGTTCACAACCTTGGCTAACCCAGATGTTCTTGGACTGCAAATCTCAGAAACCTGGGCCAGCAGTTAGTGGGGAAGGCTTCTGGGAATTGCAGTCTAAGAGCATCTGGGTTTCCCAAGGTTGGGAAACACTGCAGTAGAGCGAAGCATCAGTGACTATGATTTTTTTAACAGTAGATTTTGTAACTGAACAGTCAGATTTCTCACACAGAAAGAACAATTGCAAAGGGTGCTTTACCTCTTACATACACCCTGTTCCAGGGACGTTAACTTGTAGACTTGCTAGTTCTTATCTACTATTGTACAATGCATCGTTTATGAATCTGCCTTAGTGTGTAACAGTGTTAGCTACTTATTCCTGCTGCCTCAAATTTCTGCTGACAAAACTGATACAGTTATCAGTATTGTTTTTCTTATGTTCTGTTGTTTCTACAGAAGTCACTTCTGGCAACAGCACCCCTAAAAGTCTTGCAAGATATATAAGAGGTTCAAGGAGAGGTTCACCATTGTTCCTCCCTCCTCAGTGACTTTCAATCTGAGCAGTATTGTTTTTCTTATGTTCTGTTGTTTCAACAGAAGTCACTTCTGGCAACAGCACCTCTAAAAGGCTTTCAAAATATATAAGAGGCTCAAGGAGAGATTCACCATTGTTCCTCCCTTCTCAGTGACTTTCAATCTAGCTTTCCTGAGCTGTACTCTGACATTCCATCCACTGCAGTCCAAAACTCCTGAGTAACCCAAGGTTAAGAACCAGTGATCTAACATTCCATCCACTACAACAACACACTGGCTCTCGTTATCTAGCTCTAGGTTCACAATACAGTAGGTATTGTGGGATCGGCTCCCTTGCTGAAAAATTCAGAAGTAGCGAATGCTATGCCTTGGATTGTCAATGGCTCCCTCTAGTGGCTAGTTCTGATAAATACACAATGAAAATATGAATAAATACATATTTCTGTGGGCTTTTTATTTAACATTTTCAGGCAGCGGATAAATCCATGGATGCTGATCCAGGAGATAGGAGGATCCTACTGTATTACTTGAGTGCTTAAAAAAAAGCTTCTGCAAGAGTTTAAGCACTCTCTTGCTACTGCACGTTTCCACTCAAGCATCTTTCTTGTTCTACGGTCACGTGTCAACTTTTCTTCCCATTTTTCCAACAGCATCTTTCCGTCTGTACCTTTTCCCTCCCCCCCCCCGAACTGTGCATTTTGAGCCCAACGGCATGCTAAAATAATATCTGACTGCTTCATGATACACTAGGCCTCAGAGTTTCAGCCATAACGCCCATTACCTTGGTTGCATCTGCCTCCTGGACTTTGGCTGGCACCTTAGCAGCATAGTCTGGACTGTCTAGGCGCTCCCGCAACCGTGCAATTTGCTTCTGTAGCTCAGCTTTCTTGCCTGCCAGTTTGGAGATCTCCTTTTCGGCATCGATCAAGCCCTGGTACAAGGGGTGGAAAGGCACAGAATGGCACGATGGTTACATCAACTTGCACAGGGCGGGCCTTTTTGGTATGTCTTATTCTTCTTGAAGGTTAGAGGTTTGGATGGAGTTGAACTATGGAGAAAGGCTGCTAGCAATATCCGCTGTAGGAATACGACTCCCAGAAATCCTGGCCAGCACAGCTAGCGGTGAAGTCTCTGGGAATTGCAGTCCAATAACACCTGGGTTACTCCAAGGTTGGGAACGACTGCTGTAGGAGGGTAGAGGCCTGGGCTGTGATAGAAGCCAGAAGCCTAGATTCAAAGCCATCTAAGAATTAATTCTTTACTATCACCCCCCCCCCTTTCCAAGCTCTTTTTCATGAACTTGAGAGCTCAAACTATAGGCCCCTTAACATGGCTAAGTCCCTTTCAGGTGCCCCCTTTCCACCCAGCTGTATAACATTGTACACTGTAGATACAGTGTACAATGCTTAACGATTGCCTCATTAAACAACGAAACTGCTATACGATGACTGTTTTGCGATCGTTTTTGCGATCGCAAAATGATGTTTTAATAGGCAAAATTCACTTCCCCACTAATAGGCAAAATTCGCTTCCCAACAATCGCTTCCTTGCTTCGGGAATCGATTTTTCGCTAGACAGTGTTTTTAAAACAGCTGATCGGCGGCTTCAAAATGGCCACCTGCTATGTAAAATGGCTCCCCGCTGTGTTTTTGGATAGATTCCTCGCTTTATAGGCACTAAAAATGGCCACCCCTATGTGAGTTTTCAGCCCATTGGAACGCATTGAACAGGTTTCCAATGCGTTTTAATGGGATATTTTATTTCGCTTAACGAGGATTTCGCTCTACAGCGATTTTGCTGGAACGGATTATCCTCGTTAAGCGAGGCACCACTGCATGTTGCCTATGCAAAACCTGAGAACATCACAGTAGAGGATCAGCAGCATGACTGTCTTCCAAAAGTTAGGAAGAAAAATGTTCCACTCTAAAGATTTATTTAGCTTCCCTAGTTCTGGCTTCCCCGTTTCTTTCAACTGAATGCATGCACTCCCTTACCTTGAGCAAAAGGTGGACGGTACATTTGTCAGAGGCGATGGCTACGGCGCAACCTGAAGGGACCTCCTGCCCAGGCCCCAGAACCAGCACTTGTTTGGAGGAAGAGAGGGTGCGGATGTACTCAGAGCAGGGAGTCACAGCCTTTACTGTCTCAGAATCCAGACACTGCAAATAACCTGGAAAGCCCGGAAAGAGGCGATCGGAGTCACAGAGACGCTGAGCGGATTGCACCTTCTATTTAATAGCTAGTCCCCTCCACCCTTTTGCTTCCTCCTTAGAGATCTATGGAAATCACTATCCACGGATTGGCAAAGTCAATATTCCTAGAGTCCCTAGCTAGTGGCAAAAACAGTGAGTTTTTCCAAATTGCGGCGTCACTGCATCTCATTGCAAAATTGGTAAATCATGCCTGACAACTCAGGCCATCTTTCCCTCTGAAGGGTTGCCAAAGCTTTCCCCAGTTTCAAAAACAGTGCAGCATACCCTGGTTGGCCAGCACACTGTATTCCCAAGCTTGTAACTATACTCATTTGCTGTTTCTTTTGTTTCTCAGGGAGGAATATCCTGTGCACAAAACTGTGTGAATCCCACAGTTCCATATAAACCTCCAAATCAAAATTAAATGCAAAATTCAGTATCCCAAACCACCTTTTAAAAAAAAGGTTTCTAGCCCTTAAGATGCTGGTCTTGGCCCTGAAAGCATGTGAGCAACGTCTGATGTTGTCATTCTGTGCTGCCAAGTCACATCCCACTTAGGGGAATCCAAAACAGGGTTTTTAATGTACGTAAGATATTTAAGGTGTGGTTTTAGCATTGTCATCCAGGATGTTTTCAGGGCCAAGTGAGACTTTTAACCCACATTTCTGACGTCTTAGTCTGTCACAACCTACATCTAACCGGTTCCCAATGCCTAGGTGAAACCTCTGAATTTAGATGGGTGACTGAACACAAATATCCAAGGTAGTTCTGAAGAGCTCTGTGTAGCTCTGTGACTGGCTGAAGCCTAATAAATCTGGCAACAGAAAAGGCAAATATATGCATCTTTGTGAACTTCATTCGGTTCAAGGAATTCAACTTTGTTATCTTGGCAAAGAATGCTGATTCTCACCACATCCCCCCAACATAACCTCCCTCTCTATTTTATGTGAGATGGATTTTCATGATCATTTGCTACATATAATAAAAATTTAGAGATGTGTATGTTTCAAGAGAGTGATATAAATGTTCTCAATAGGTGTCTAAAATATGATTTAAGAACTTGAAACAAACATGAGTTGTGGAGAAATGTTTTATGAATCAAAATTTATTGTATGTTTTTAAAACATATGGATATTTTTCCGTGTATAAGACGCCCCCATGTATAAGATGCCCACCACTTTCCTAACCCAAAATTAAGAAATCTAAGTGGGGTTTAGCAAGTGTAGAGAGAAAGGGATCAAAGCGCTGCAGGATCGCTTTGATCCTTGCTTTCTCCCTTCATGCTAAGCCCCGTGGGAAAGGGATCAAAGCAATCCCTCAACTGCACAATCATTTTGATCCCTTTCCCCCTTATATAGCCACCGGATTGCTTTGATTCTTTCCCCCCTCCTTTTGTTAAGCCCCATGGGACTTAGCAAGCAGAGGGGAAAGCAGAGATCAAGGTGATCCTGCAGTGCTTTGATTGCTGCTTTCCTTTTGCTAAGGATTAGCAAGTGGAGGGGAAAGCAGGGATCAAAGCCCTGCAGGAACAATTTGATCCCTGCTTTGCCCACCACGTGTTTTTGTACTCTCCTCAGCTTACTTCCGTGTATAAGGCAACCCTCAATTTTTAGTCTAAAATTTTAGACAAAAGCATAGTATTATACATGAAAAAATACAGTAGTTTTATTCTGTAAACCATCTAAAGCAGAAAAGCATAGTATTATACATGGAAAAATACAGTAGTTTAAAGCAGTCTCCAACCTTTTCCAAACCGCGGATCAATTTAGCGTGTGTGTGTGGGGGGTGGCATCCATGGGTGATGGGTGGGGCACCCGTGCGTGCATCTGTGCATGCATGAGCAAGGCGTGTGTGCGTCCGTGTGTGTATGTGAGGGTGGGTGGAGATCTGTCTCTGCGGCCCAGTCCTGTCAAGGCCTGGTACCAGACTGCAGACTGGGTGTAAAGGACCTCCTATTACAGGGGCATCTATAAACAGCATTTAGGAAATATGAAAATATTTTTCCTGAACCAAACTTTTAGTAAGACCTAATCTTAACTATGAATTAAGATTGACAACAAATCTTAAAGGAAACCACAGCCTTGTGTTTCCAAGACCTGAACCAGTCTATTAATGATAGGACCTTTCACTAATTCATAGGGCTATCATAAGTCAGAAGCAACTTGATAGCATGCAACAACAACTACAAGCTGGCAATACAAGCTGGCAAAGTAAACCATCCAACCAAAAGCGCTAATTACGGCTATTAACATACCCCCCCCTCCAAAGAATTCTGGGACTGGCAGTTCCACCGCCCAGAAGGATAAAATCGCATTCCACCATGGACTCTGGTAGGACCAGCCGTCGCCTGCCTCCCCTTCCTTGAATGTCAAATTCTTAGGGGCACATTGTGTGTGTGTGTGGGGGGGCATTGTGACCAAACACGAATGTGTTTTATTAAAGCTCAGGAACCTAGTGCTTTAAAGAAGCCCAATCCCCGCTGAAGTGAGCGAAGAGAGGGTTATTGTGATCCCTGTTTAACATGTTTAGTTTGACAAGTTAATAATTAAAAGTATTACTCTTGCGACTGAAACCTGAAACCTCACAGACCTTTTTTGAGCATCCTTGATAATGCATGAAAAAAGTGTAGCGTTTCAGATTCTCTTTTCCTCTCCCCCACCCCACCAAACCAATCCCAAATGTAACATCCCAACATCGGCTAGATAAAGTGTGGAGTGCAGAGTGCGGGTGGCATACAAGTCGAATAAATAAAATAAATAAAGCAGCCCAGTGCTGAGCGGGGAACCAGGACGACCAGTTCCAAACTCCTCCTCAGCCATGACCTGAGGCAATCCTGCTCTGCCTTGCTCTGAACCAGAGAACACAGTCCGTTAACGAGACCCAACCCTCATATTAATTGATTCTGTGGGGATTCGGCAACCTTTCCGCCTCAAAAGGTTAGCTTGCTTGGTTCCTAAGAGCTGCCTGGGTGAACACTGTTCCTTTCCCTCCACACCAGCCTCTTCTCAATATTTCGACAATTAAAAACTTGCCATTCTCTTCACGCCTCTTACTCACAGTCAGCTTTGGTCTTGGTGAGGTTGTAGTCTGCCCGGAGTGAACGCACCGCCTTAATAATGCTCAGCACAAAGTCAATGGTGCAGTCCAGGGTTTCATCCCGCCAGCAGTACTGAGGTCAAACAGAAAAAAAAAAGATGTATAAACTGGTTGGGCTTCATGATTTCAGACTAATTAGAAAGTTGTAAGGTGACGAACAGAAAAATGGCAGCTAGCGCTGAACAATCTGAGCCATGCGATTTTCCAGTTTGCACCCAAGTTTCTATGTTTCAGGGTGGGGGGGGGAATGCTGAGAGGGGCATGATATTAGTTAAACAGTGGTCGCTCCCTGTCAAACAAAGTTCCTTTGAGTCTCTCAGATCTAACGGTGAATTTTGGCACTAAATGCTGACCACTGTGCAGAACGTTCTAACAGCTGCAAGGAGAAAGGTGAGGTAGAAATAAAACATATAAATAAAAGGTTGCCAAAATGGGAGAAACAAGAGGGAGGGATTGGAATAGACAACAGATGTATAAACTGGTTGGGCTTCACGATTTCAGACTAATTAGAAGGACACCCTGGGCTGAATTCTCATGTTCAGACTTTTAATAGCAAATGAATGAGCAGCCAGAATTTTCTGCACTGGGGGGGGGAGGCATAGAACTTAACCAATTACACCCTCTGAAGAAACAATTAGAATAAAATACACATTGCAAAACACGCTGTAAATGTTAGTCCCTTTTCTTGACTGTATTTTCATTTCAAAATCTGTTTCACGTCCATTTGCCACCACCACCCCTCCCCTCGTGGACCACGAAGACTCCACTCACACCATGCCTCTTTCTGCCTGCAAGCTTGAAGAATGTGCTCCCCGTTACTTACCTCCTCTGTGGCAGGATAAGGGGTAACACAGATGCTGGGAGGGTCAGAGGAGGGGCACCGTCGGGGCAGCCGTTGGAACAGCTCCTCCGTGACAAAGGGCATAAAAGGGCTGAGAAGGCGAAGCCCAACATCCAAGCAGGTGTAGAGAACATTCCGGGCGGTCTGGATGGCCGTCTCATCTGGACCAGCAAAGACGGGTTTCAGGCACTCCTAGGTGGCAAATTTAAACGCGTGTAAGCACACCAGGTCCTATTGTAACACAGTGTTGTATATGACTAGCCTACAAATGGTACCCACCTTGCAATATACAAGTGGTGCCTTGCTTGACGAGGATAATCCGTTCCAGCGATATCGCTGTAGATATCAAGCGAAATAAAAAAGCTCATTGAAACGCATTGAAAACCGTTCAGTGTGTTCCAATGGGCAAAATACCTGTTCATCCAGTGAAGATCCTCCATAGGGCGGCTATTTTCGGGTGCCTGTGCAGCGAAAAATGCCTCCTAAAAACAGCAGGGAGTCATTTTGAGCAGCTGACGGCCCTTTTGAAAACCCAACGATCAGCTGTTTTGATCGTCGTAATGTGAAGAATCGGTTCCCGAAGCAGGGAACCGATCGTCGGGAAGCGAAAAAAGTCAGTTAAATCATCATTTTGCAATCGCAAAAACATCATTGTCAAGTGGGATAATCATTAAGCGGGGCACCACTGTATGTATCAGGGTGGGGAACCTGAGGCCATAGGGCCAAATCTGGTCCTCTAGGCTCCTCCCCATGGCACTGTCACTCGGTGGCTTCCAGCGGCTGTACAGTTTTTTCCCCATTCTCCAAGTTTGGAAAGACCCTAAGGCCTTAGCGACTGACAGCCAGAGCTTTCGTTTACCCTTTTGCCCTTGCCTAGCACAGAAATACAGTCCCCCCCCCCAAAAAAACCTCTCTGAAGCCAAATCAGGCTGGAAAAGGTTCCCGCATTGATAGACCTTTTGGCTAGGGGTGAGTTCTTTTGTGTTATGGGACTGCAGCTCCCATAATTCCCCAGGCAGAATTCTGGGAATTGCAGCCCACAAACACAAATCTGCAGACTTCTACATTTTTGCCCCCTCTGAGGAGGGCTTTTGGGTTATTTATCTCTAGAACTGCCATATTTCTGGGCTTTGCCTTTTTAAAAAACAAGAAAGCTGCTGCAATGCTATCGAGGAGTCACAGTTCTTGGGGAAATGCCCTCTGTAGATCCTAGTGGGTAGCGGGATTATGACTCCCAACCTCTGCCACGCTTGGGAGAGCCACGGCCTGGCCGGCCAGTCACCCACCCCTGCTGTCACATGACTGGGGGGCTGCAGTCTGAAAACACAGAACAGCATGTCCCTAATATTCACTAGTGTGCTTGACTGGAGACCAAAAACCTTCATTTCCTGGCTGGCCTCAAAGGAACAAAATCAGCCGGGGGGTGGGGGGTGGGGATTGCAAAATAAATAGATTTGGAAAAAACAACAACATTCCTTTCTGTCAAGCAGGCTGATGGAGAAGTGGGACAAATCTGGCCCGCCCGCCCGTTCGCCTGCATGGAATCCCTTGTCACTTAGGGTGACCGGATAAGTTATTAAAAATAAGGCTATCCAGTTCAGTTTACTACGTTCCTAAAGAAACATAGAAGTCTTGTTTCATAAGAGCTTTGTGTGGAGGGTCAGAACGAGCTGGTATGGTTATCTTGTAGGTCAGTTTGTTGCAAGATGAGACGGATGGCCCAGCATGGATTTTGATACTAGGATGGATACATCTAAAACAGTAGTCTACTGTAATGCTCTCTACGTGGGGCTGGCTTTGAGACTGACGCGGAAACTTCAGATGATGCAGAATGCAGCACCCAGATTTCTTACTGGGATGAAAAGGTACCACCATATTTCCCCCACTCTGGCCACCTTGCATTGGCTGCCCATTCGTTTCCTCATTGATTTCAAAGTTCTTATGATTACATATAAAGCCCTAAATGGTTTAGGACCTCGATATCTAGCACAGCGCCTTCTCCCACCCAGTTCTGCCAGAGTCACTCATTCCAGCCAGGCTGGGTGGCTAAGGAGTCGACCGCCAAGGGAGGTCCGGAAGGAAAGAACGAGGAACCGCACCTTCTTGGCAGTGGTCCCTTGCCTTTGGAACAACTTGACAGTGGAGATCCACCTGGCTCTCTCTCTGGATGTTTTCAGAAACAAAACCTGGCTATTTGGGCAGGCTTTCCCTCCTGCTGTATCTTAATTTCTTATACTTTTCCATCTTGGACTTATAATATATGCTTACTGGTTTCATTGTTTTTAAATTTGTAAACTGCCCAGAGTAGACTTTTAGTCTAGATGGGCAGGATAGAAATCTAATTAATTGATTGATGATAAATGATAGACAGATAGTCCAGTGCTTCCCAACCTCCAGAAGTCTTCACCACTAGCTCTGCTGGCCAGGATTTCTGGAAGCTGTGGTCCAAAAAGAGCAGGGTTACCCAAGTTTGGGAAACACCGGTCTACTCAGTACATGTCTTGGCTGAAATCCTGTTGCACAGCTTTGTGTACACAATGGAAGTCACATCATCATCAACGGCATATCACCACCAATTAAAGGTAATTTGGGGCTGCTTGTGATTTGTACACAATGTGACAAAGTCAGGTGCATCCCAAAATCCCAAAGGAAGCCTTTTAATCAACAGCAATTTGCTGCCGCCGCTGATATGATCCTCGTTATGCGGAACTGCACAACAGGATTTCAGCTGCTGACTTGCATAATTCTGTATTGGTGTGGTTTACTTTATCCACAATTTTAAAAAAATGGAATGAATTAATATATAAGCGATCCCTCCAAAAGTCCAAAAGAAGAGATGTACAACCCCCAGAAGTAGGGGGAGGGGCACCCACACTCAAGAGATGACACTCACCAGGTAAACATCACATAGCTCATAGAGCCAGAAGTTATACACCGCTGTGGTGATGCCTGGGAAGTCATAGGCCTGGAATCCGACATCACACAACTCCACGGCATGGCTCAGGCGACTTAGGATCCACCTGTCAATGAGGCTCTCAGAGCCGCTGGGCTGCAAGAGAGACTGTTAAGAAGGAGAGGTTCCTGGTGGTCCTGAGGGGAGGACCAGGACTCTGACCCACGGAGGTTGCAGAGGGAGAGGAAATCTAAGACCCACCACGGAGAGGTTCCTGGTGGTCCTGAGGGGAGGGGCAGGACTCTGACCCGCGGAGGTTGCAGAGGAAATCTAAGACCCACCACCTGTGCTCTGCATGCCGTGATGCTAAAGGTACCCCACAGAACTGTGTTTGGGGGGGTGGGACTGAAAGGAGGCCTTGCGTTTGGGAAGGTGGTGGGAGGACAGAGAAGGGAACCACGAGAAAACAGGCTTTACCTCTGGGCTGAGCTGCGGCTGGAATTCGACCCCGAGGCTGCGGATCGCGAACTTGGTCGCGTTCCAGAGTTTGTTGCAGAAGTGCCGGTAGCCCAGAATCCTGTTCACATCGAGGTTTATATCCCGGCCTAAAAAGAGCAGGGGAAGGAAGAGAGGGATCACGGCATCAGCCTGAGAAGGGGAGGCCAAGGATGAGAAATGGAGCAGGCTGCGCACGCCTCCTTCGGAGGGAGGTGGAAAAAGAGAAATTACCTTGAGATGTGTAAGCGCACAGAGCAAACCGGAGGGCATCTGTCCCACATTCGGGGATCCCACTGGGGTAATCGGATCTCTGGGAAGCAAGCAGAGTGCATTACCCACAGGTTTCACACACAGGCAGTCTCCCACACTAACCTTGAAGTGTTCTGCCACACAAACTGCACAATCCTCACAACTACGAAGTCAGAAATAGAACAGTTTGTTAGACTGGTCACCCGTCAAGGAGTTATCCAAACATGTATATAACAACAATAATTATGTGCCATCAAGTCAATTCTGAATTATGGAGACCCTTTCCAGGTTTTTTCAGGAAGAGAGTCCTCAGACATGGTCGCCCATTCCCTTCCGCTGGGTGTGCCCCGAAACTGTGCAGCTTGGCCAAGGCTACACAGACTAGCTATTCTCCCAGGAGGCAGAGTGGGGAATCAAACTCCTGGCCTCTGGCTCTGCAGCCAGATAGCTAATTCCCACAGCCAGAGAATTATGGAGACCCTTTCCAGGTTTTTTCAGGAAGAGAGTCCTCAGACATGGTCGCCCATTCCCTTCCGCTGGGTGTGCCCCGAAACTGTGCAGCTTGGCCAAGGCTACACAGACTAGCTATTCTCCCAGGAGGCAGAGTGGGGAATCAAACTCCTGGCCTCTGGCTCTGCAGCCAGATAGCTAATTCACACAGCCAGCCAGCTATAGGTATATCATACTTAGCCTTAAAGGTATCCTGCAACTGTGAGTGTCATGTCTGTTTATCCACAGAAACTAAAAGGACCAAATGAGGTCAGTGTTCTGTGCCGTTTCAGGATCCCATCAGCTGCAAGAGAGGGGGGGAAACCATACCTGTCCTTGTTTTGCTCGCTCCATTTCAGCAGGGTCCAAATTGCTCTCTAGTAACTGAGCATGTAAGCCCTAGAGAGACAAGAGACAAAAGAAAAAGTCGGTTCTTTGTAGAATATAACGTGAAGGTGCAACAGGAGGTTATGTCGCCATCCCCAAAAGTGTCTTTTCTCCACTTCCCCTAACCTGACAGGATCCTGGCTCCCGTTCTCCCAGTTTTCTTCAACCAACTCGGAGCAGAAAGTGCTGCTTCCCTCCAAAGCACAGATGTGGAACTGTTCCCATTATCTGCAGCTGAGGCCAAGCACTCGAAAATCCTCTTCTGAATCAAACCCAAGATGTCCACCTAAATCCAGTGTTTTCTGCCTATAATCGCCTTTCCCAACCTGGTTGCTTCCAGATGTGTCATCACCACCATGGATGGCAGTCATGGTTCCTCCACAGATCTGGAGAGCAGCCCGCTAGGAGAAAGCTGGTCTGTAGGGAGGGTGATAACGCATGCCTTCAGATGGGTGTCAGGGAAAATCTTCTCCAGCCAAGCTGCTCAGGGTCAGATTGAACCAGCTGGCCAGGATGATTCTGTCTGTGGACTTATCACCCCAATGTGATAAGTGACTGAGGTGTCCAGCCTTTAGGCATGCCAGATGTGCCATGTTTCCCTAAAAGAATCTCAAGGTCCACTAAGGAAAGCCAGGTGCAAATTAATAGAGGGAGACTGAGGAAGACACGCAGAGTCCCACCTAGACGGAAGTTTACATTCTAGCACAACATTCTTAACAGGGCCCCCAGTACTGCACCACAACCTGGCCAGAGGCTGCTAAGGAAGGCTCCCATTCCACAGGCGTAGACGGAAGTTTACATTCTAGCACAACATCCTTAACAGGGCCCCCAGTATTGCACCACAACCTGGCCAGAGGGTGCTTAAGGAAGGCTCCTATTCCACAGGCAAAGCTACAAGATAAACAATTAGCATACAGCAAGGGGCTGTTTTTAAACCTTCCATTTTCCTCGCCATTTGCAACATGTTGTGAGTCAGTAAACCTTGCTGATCCACTACTGATCACCCAGAGATCCAGAGCCAGCTTCTGTCCTGACAAACAGAACAATGCAGAAGCGGCTGAGGTCTACATCACCTCCTTCAAGCTGAACTGGCCATCACAAATGTCTAGGACAAAGGAAGACAAACCACCAAAGGCGGCTGCTGGCCAACACAGGTCTCCTCATATTTTTCTCTACATTAGAACATCATTAACGTGACCCTTCCTTCCTCCCATACCATTCACCAACTGCTCTCTTGCTCTCTCCCTGGGAAGTCCAGGTTTCAGGGTAATCCTCAAAAAAGCAGATGAGATTCTCAAAAACCAAGGCACAGTCTCTCCCTGGGAAGTCCAGGTTTCAGGGTGAGATTCTCAAAAACCAAGGCACATCACTCTGCTGGCCACGTGCCCTGCAGGTACCCAGTTAACAACCCATTACAACGCTGAGGTCAGCTGCAGCCCTGCTTTTATAAGACACCTGTCCCCGAATCCCGAGAGCAGAACAAGAGGTCACCTCCAGTGTAATGCCAGTGATGACATCCAGGGGATCAATCACATTTCCCAATGATTTGCTCATCTTCCTGCCGTGGGCATCCCGAACAACAGCATGAAGGTAAACCTGGAAAGGGACAGGAGGACATTAGAACAGCACTGGGAAGTGTTGTGATTGCATACCGTGATAAACGATGACTTGGGGGTGAGCACAGCCTGTTGCTTAGCTTGGGAGACAATCAAGCAGCTCATGGCATGTGTCCCCCACCCCCCATTCCTGGTTTGTTCCACTTGGGGAAACAAGCCAGGGATAAAAGGCAGCTGACATTGAAGTATTTCACGAGATCTCTAGGCAGGCCTCCAGTTATGATTCCAAAAGTGCAAAGACCGACGTTGGCTTAAGGAAACTCAGCAGCAAGAATCAATAACCATTAACAGAGAAACAAGGAAAAAAAATACACCTAAGCATCCTCACCACCTCAAATTTTACCCACCCCCACCCCCAGGCCAAAGATTCCCATTCCGTTTCTTATACTGTAAGGTCTAGTAACTTGTTTGAAAATACAAATCAATTCTCAGACTCAAAATTCTGCAAGTCTGTGCATTTAATCTAAGGGTGCAAGTCATCTAAGCTTCAGTCAAACTTGGTCATAGCCGTGAAGAGTGCAGGGGTCTCAGAAAAAAGGAAAATGGGGGAAAGGGTGGGGAAGAAAGGGAAAGAAATCCTGAAACCATTTTTTCTCACCTCTCTAAATGGCAATTTCCCCGTTAGCTTCAGCCCCAACATAACCATGCGGGCGACCCAGAAGAACAGAATGTCATGCCCAGTTTCCAGGAGAGTCCCTGGGTAAAACACTTGGAGATGTTCACTCTTAAAAAGGAGAGCAAAAAAGAAAAAAGAAAAAAATTAAGAGAAAAGAAATGAAATCTGGGAACAGCAATAGCCAACAAACATCCCACACACCCCAACAACCATCCACACAGCCCTGCCTGTACGACGGTGGACTTACAGGGTTCGGCCATCCAAAGATAGAGAAAGGAAAAATGCCGGAGGAGAACCAGGTGTCCAGGACATCCTCATCTGCAAGGGAGGCACAAGAAGCACATGGAAGAAGCACATGGACCAAAACAGAAAAGTTACAGCAGGGGTGGGTGAACAAGGTAATCCTAACATTCTGCAGCAAAGGTATGCCAACAGAGTTGGAAGAGCGGCTGACTCTCTGCATTGAAGAATAGACAGAATGCTTTGAGGAGAGTCCAAAAGTCACAGAAATTGCTGAGAGGCAGGTTGAAGGCCTGGACAGGGGCTGAGATGATCCGCTAACAGGTTATAGAGGGAGGGAGTCTACACAGGTTTCTTGTCCAGCAATCACACTTTCTGTCTGTTACCCTGGAAATAAGCCCTACCCCAAAAATAATAATAAGAAGATGACCTGACTATATTTGAATAAGTATAGATTGTACATGAAAAGAATAAAACATCCCCTGAAAATTAGCCCTATAGAGCAAAAATTAATATAAGGCCCTGTCTTATTCTCGGGGAAACATGGTACTTAAGTGTCTACCCTGCCCTTCTTGTGGCAGGCCACTACACTAGGCAGTTTCCAACACAGAACATAAACATGAACACCTTTAATCCCCCTACCCACCCAAACCGCAATAATGTAAAAACGCCCCCCCCACACACAAAGAGAATCCAAAATGGCGGCAATGGATCCAAAAACACAATTTGCATATAAGCATAAATAGCAACCATTATTAGGGGAGGAGGTTCTGAAAGGTCTTTCTTAAAAGCAATGTATCTTTATGCTTTCTAAAGAGTGGGAGGGAAGGGCCCTGGAACACCTCCACAGGGGATGCACTCCACAGGGAAGGTGGCCACCATTGAGAAGGCCCGGTTCCTAGTGGTGGACATCCTTGGCCTCCTTCCAGATGGCCACTGGCAGCATCAACACCTGAGAGATACAAGTGGTGTGGCAGGTGGATCTCAGGGAGAGGGGTTCTGACAGGTGACCCACACTTGCTCTAAAGCAGTGGTCCCCAACCTTGGGCCTCCAGATGTTCCTGGACTACAACTCCCAGAAGCCTTCACCACCAC